CCTTTTTACAAATGGCGTTGAAAAACAAACATAACCAGAGTAATAGCAATTCTAACAGAAGTTGGTAAGATGTTTCGAATCGCCACTTGGTAAAAGTTGTTGCATCAACACATGACAATCATGAGACTTTAAACCAACTAATTTCAACTCTTGCATAGACACAAGACTCTTAACATTTGAAGAGTATCCTTGTGGCACTTTGACCTCATGTAAACACTCACAAAAGCTTCTCTTTTCTTTCTTTGATAGAGTATGACAAGCTGGAGGTAAGTAAGTGCGTTTTCCAAGCTGATTGTGGATGTAATTCGGAACGTATACCCATGTCTCGTCAAATCTTGTCTTGCTTTTATTCCATCTTTTGTCTTTCCTTTTATGTTAAGCAATGTCCCAATTATACTATCGCAAACATTTTTTTCAACATGCATCACATCTATACAGTGTCTAACTTCCAACTTACACCAATAAGGAAGATTGAAGAATATAGACTATTTCTTCCAAATGTTTTTCTCATTGGATTTCTTTTGGGTCTTTCCAAACACAATATTAATATTTTTCACTTGCTCATATACTTGTTCACCATTGCGTGAGTACTTGATGCAATTGCATTCTCCTGACATCCATCAAATGCTTTCTTCATTTTACGATATGGATGATTAGCAACTAGAAACTTTCTATGCCTATTGTACGCGAGTTTTTTGTCCATGTTTCAATTGGATATAACTTGTGTCTTCTTGACATAAAGGACATGCTAAATGACCTTTCACACTATAACCGCTCAAATTACCATATGCTTTGGAAAATCATTTATAGTACAAAATAACATTGCACGCAACTCTGAAATTCACTTCGTGATATGAATCAAATACATCCACTCCTGTTTCCCACAACATCTTCAAATCATCAATTAAAGGACTAAGATATACATCTATGTCATTTCCTGGTTGTCGAGGTCCTGAAATCATCATAGATAACATCATATATTTTCTCTTCATGCATAACCAAGGAGGCAAATTGTAAATGATCAACATAACTCGGCCATGAACTATGTTTACTACTTAAATTTCCATAAGGATTCATCCCATTTGTAGCTAATCCAATTCTCAAGTTTCTTGGCTCGCACCAAATTCGGAAAGGTTTCATCAATCATTTTCCATTGTGGAGAATCGGTTGGATGTCGATGAAGATTGTCACATTTTCTACCATTTGCATGCCATGTCAAGTTTCTTGCATCTTCTTTAATGGCAAATAATCTTTTAAACCTAGGTATAATTGGCAAATACCATAACACCTTAGCAGGGGGACCATCTAGTTCTTCCTCACCACTACTTTCCTCAACTTTGTTTTTGAACCTCGACAAACCACATGTCGGACACATCTTTAATTTAGCAAAATCATTTCTGTACAATATACAATCATTAAGACATGCATGTATTTTCTTGTACTTTAAACCCATTGGACATAATATCTTATTTGCCTCATAGTTACGAATAGGTAATGTATTATCTTCAGGAAGCATCTCCTTCAACAACTCCAATAATTCGGTGAAACTTTTATCAGTCCATCCATTTCTTGCTTTTAAAGTAAACAATTTTAAAGTTGCTGATAATCTTGTAAAACTACATCCTATGTACAATTGTTGCGCAAAATCAGATTTCAAAGAATCATATAGATGTGCTTTCAGAAAATTTTCTTCACCAATATCACGTATCATATCCTCTAGATTATCATCCATCCCTTCATCAAAATTGTATGTAGTTGACACAGTTGGGATGTCTAATATTTCTCCATGCCATGTCCATATTGTATAACTCTTAATAATACCATAAACATTCATACTATAACGTGATTGAGATCCCCAAAAACAATCACGGATTCAATGTAAACATATAGCAATGACATAGAACACTAACCTCGAGTGTAGACGAAAAATGATTTCAAACTCGAATCCAATCAGGGAGAAATATCAAGCTCGTCAAATGACACACAATGTAGATGTTTTTCACTGTAAAACTGATTGAAAATGGTGTGCAGAGGTAGCTGTTGTCGTCGTTCTCGTCGTCGTTCTCAAAAACCCTGATTGCGCGAGACGAGGGAGTGTGCCAGGGAGGGAATAAAAGAGACTTTTTACGTCGCGCATCCTAGCACGCGACGTAAAAGGCCCTTTTTTACGTCGCACCTGGGTGGCGCGACGTAAAAGAGGCTTTTTACGTCGCGTGCTAGGGTGTGCGACGTAAAAGTTGTGTCCCTTATTTACAAAATTGCCACCACGTTTTATTTACGTCGAATATTTTTACATGCGACGACAATTGGGTGACGTAAAAGCCCTTTTCTGCACTAGTGAATTATCTAACTTCAAATATTAAACATTGAGGCTTTGAGAAAGTTATATTTATACGTTGATATTTTAATGATGTAAGTAATTCAATTGTTATATAGTTCGGATTTTAACTCGTGTAAGCATAACCTCGTCTCGGCGTCAACATTTGACCCTTCTGAGCCGATTCATGGTTGTAGAAAATCCAAACCTCTTTCAAGTCATTGTAGTAAATCCTGACCTCTTTTAGGTTGTTGAAGAAAATTCTGACCTCACAAGGTTGTTGTAGAAATTTCGTCCTCACAGGGTCGTTGTAGAAAACCCCGTCCTCACAGGGTCGTTGTAGAAATCCCGTCCTCACAGGGTCGTTGTAGAAATCCCGTCCTCACAGGGTCGTTGTAGAAAACCCTGTCCTCACAGGGTTGTGGTAGAAAACCCCATCCTCACAGGGTTGTGGTAGAAAACCCCGTCCTCACAGGGTCGTGGTAGAAAACCCCGTCCTCACAGGGTCGTGGTAGAAAACCCCGTCCTCACAGGGTCGTTGTAGAAAACTCCGTCCTCACAGGGTCGTTGTAGAAAGCCCCATCCTCACAGGGTCGTGGTAGAAAGCCCCGTCCTCACAGGGTCGTGGTAAGAAGCTCCGTCCTCACAGGGTCATGATAGAAAATCCCGTCCTCACAAGGTCGTGGTAAACCCCTTCCCCATAGGGTCGTGGTAAACCCCGTCCCCATAGGGTAGAAAACTCCATCCTCACAGGGTCGTGATAGAAAACTCCGTCCTCACAGGGTCGTGATAGAAAACTCCGTCCTCACAAGGTCGTGGTAAACCCCGTCCCCACAGGGTCGTGGTAAACTTCGTCCCCACAGGGTTGTGATAGAAAATCCTGTCCTCACAGGGTCGTGGTAGAAAATCCCAACCCCGTCCTCACAAGGTCGTTGTAGAAAATCCCGACCCCAACCTCACAAGGTCATTGTGGAAAATCCCGACCCCAACCTCACAGGATCGTTGTGGAAAATTTCAACCTCACAAGGTTGTGACCTCGCAAAATTATTGTGTAGAGTAGACCAACGTTGAAGGATAATCGTGTAGAAGCGATCGACCTCGCATGTTTATCATATAGTGGCGACCAACCATTGATTTTGGGAGACCAAATGATATGTTATTAATAAATTATAAATAAATATAAAAGGGTGATAGGATAAAATTATAAATATATAAATAAATATATTAAATGATCATTAAGTTTATAGGGACCAAAATCATAAATTATATGAGAGGTTATCGAAGAGGTTGACCTATCCCAAGACCTTCACCATTAGGATTCCCTCGATGAGCGTTACTTTATCACCTCTGGAGACGATACCAATTGTTACTGTTGAAAAGTTCCTTTAAACCAGTAATGATTTTTTCTTTATTGTTCTTCCTTTTAGTCCTAATACCTTATTGTGTTTATCTTTATTATTAGGTCAAGTTTTTCTCATTTTTAAGCTAAATTTCCGTCATATTTTCATAATTAACTACTCATAAATCTCACCTACCATGTTAATTACGTGACGAGATTAATTAATTATTTGAACACTGCATATTAATATAAGATGATAACTAATTATACATGTATGATTAAAATATTTAGATTTACCAACTTCCTTTTAAATTTTAGATAATACATGGATTCTACATATATTATTAAATCATACTTAAATTACTAAATACATATATTTATTGTAATACTTATTATATAAAAAATATATCTTGCCCTTATTAAATAAGCTCTTTTTTTCAAAAGATTTTCAACTATTGTGTATTTCGGTTGAACTTAATCCTTATAATTATTTTAATATAGTTTTTTCATCTATAAATATGTTTATAGAAGACCATTTATGGTAGACATATCTAAATGTGAAATGTTGACTGTGAAGCTTCAATTAGGTCCAAATTTTGTGAAGAAAAAAAGAAAGTCCTTTTCCATTTCCTTTGTTGTTATGGTTTTGAAAATAAAAATAAAAAATGAAACCCTATATTACTTGCTGTGCACTTTCGTTTTATTTGTTTTAAATGTTAGTAGTAGAAGAAATAGAGAGAATTTTGACCCATTTTTTATTGGTATAAATATAGTTATAATTATTAACATATGAACAGTATCAACGAATATTAATTATTTTCAATCTCATGTACCGTTAGTTTGATTTGTAAACGTTGAAGGATTAAAAAAAAATATTTTGATTTGGCCAGATGGGATTGGTGTTCTTCAATTGCGGATGTCATGATTAAATTTTGTGTATTGTGGAACAAGGCATTGCATTCGTGGACCAAAACTAACCAAACAAGTCATTGAGTCCACGTCTAGAATTTTGTGAAGGACAAAATTCACTAACACCAAGTTTTGCATCTTGTAATTTCCATTCTCTGTCTTGTAATGTAAGTGTGATTTCCTCCACAAAAATAAAGAACAAACTAAAAACGTTTTGGTTTGCATTCAGATGACACCACAACACAAGCAATTGTTTATTTCCATTTTTCCATATCAGAAGTTTCCTCCAAAATACACAGTCGCTTCAAAAAAAGCAAAAAAAATTCTAACTTTACGAGACCCATCTAGCCATATGATCCAGCTACAAACCCACCATGAACGATGAAAAGACACAAAAAATTGAGTTATAATCAAGAGAGAGATAACTTCAGCTTTTCATGCTTGACCCTCTACCCTCGCACGTGTGAGTCCAACGCATGCATCAACGAAATCATTGTGAATGAAATCCGTGGAAAATACCTGCAATCTATCAGCATACCCTTTGGAAAAACACTGACTAATGAAGAGTCTTGCAAAGCCATGAATGCGTTTCGTGACAGGCCTCACACACACAATGGGGTTATCTGCCACAGGAGTAACGGTGTTCTCCACTCTGTAGAAGTATTTTCTGGACGTAACAGGTTGCTGTTCGCTGAGATGCTTCATGTTGCTATCGAACTTGGTTGATGGCAAATCAGTGTTGATCCAGTTATCCTTCAAATACCTCGCTCTCCACAGAGGACTTCCTGCTTGAGGTTGTGGTGATTTTCTTGGCTTCCAAACGCATATAACTCTCTTTGGTAGAACCTCTGCTATGGTCTTTTCAAAAACATTATCATCCTGGGGAACTAGGTAATCCCCCAGTTGTTCCTGAAGGTACTTGTCGAATTCAGGAGGATCCTCGTGGCCAAACTCAGTTCTAACCTATGATGATGCAAAGATACGATATGCATGTTAATTACAACATGTATGATGTATCCAATACATGTTATGTTGTTATACGATTATTCTAAAAGTACATAGAATATAATGTATAATTTACATATCTAAACATGTTATACATGTCTCTACGTCTCATTTAGTGTATCAGAGTTAAATTTTGTTTAAGGCCTTATACTTCATATCTAAGAATATCAATATTGGATTGGATACATATCAATGATAGGTTCTAACCTCAAGGATGATAATTTCATATTGGGTTTCTGACAAGAACTTCTTGACATCTTTGATGACAACATCCATGCTGTATGTAAGGAGGATTCCGTGGCATACTCTGCGATTCTCTTGCACCCGAATGTCAATGACCCTTGTCCCCATAACAAGCTGATGGTAGATGGACAAGGATTGGCATTGAGCAAAAGGGCGAGTGATCCACGGGATGCCAATCTTGTTGGTTGCAGAATCATGGGTTCCAGGCCAAACAATTTTTTTCATCACAACTTTCTCTGGGTTGAGTTCGGACATCCAGTTTTTTCTGTCAGAGGGATGGTAACCAGAGCCAGGGTAGTCTTCGCCACAGTTTCTGAGATCAGACAGAGTTTTTTTCTCTCTTTTGATTGCCTTTCGTCTCTCAAGCTGTTTGGAGACCTGGGAGCCCATCAAAGATGAGGAGAGGGAGAACAACAACAGGACTCAGGAGGAGGAGGAATTGCTAGTTCTTCATCTCCTTTTGTTGTTGCTGGAGTCAATTGTCGTAGGTTATGACTTTGTTGTTGATGTTGGGATTTATTATAATAAGACATGGTGGTGTCAGAATGATTTTTTTTTTTTTTTCAATAAGTGAGAATGGAGTTGCTGAATTGGACAAAGGTTGAGAAATAAGAATGACTCTTCTGCTTTCTTCACTCAATTGTTTTTCGTTATCTCGAAGAAGTTTGGCTTTGGATTAGGAAGGACTCTTCTATTAGTATTATAGCCATTGTTGTTTTTAAAGTTGTGTGAACCTACGCTCTAATTATTGGCAAGGAGTTACAATCGAGATATATTATGGACCTGTGGTGTGGTCCAATGGGATGGCTGTTGAGGCTTCTCTGACTAAGTATTTTTTATTTATTTAGAAGTATTTTGATTCGCTTTTTGTGACTAATTTTAGACGAGAACAAAACGAGTAAAAAAAAGAATGACCGATTTTAATTCTTGATCAGCCATTACTAAACAGATGAATTAGATTTTACTGTAATCAGACACATGGATATTAGTAATATAGACTATCGAGAATGAGAATCTCTTCCAGTTTTGCTCATAATTCACAAACAAGAGCCTCAAACTTTATCAAAACCAGACTTCAACTGCTTTAAGTTTTCCCCTGGTTTTGGTGTGATGATGAACCTTGTCATGAATCCATCAGTCTAGTAAAGTTTTGCTTTCTGCTCATGTTGGTCCACTATCACATTTTGTTGTTTGTTTCAGAAGAAAATAAAATTAAACATAAAGCAAGAAGTATTCAGTCGTTTACCTACATGAATCAGATTCAAAGTTTATAAAGAAAATAAAAGCAGCTATAAAGAACTTGATCTCTTTATCTAGAATAGTGCATATTATCACGATCCAATCTTTCTTGTATAGAACATCAGTATTAATTCTTATTAAGCACCTATTCCTATGGATGAAAAAAAGTAAATCATCTTATAAGCGAACCAAATCAATTCCCTGAGCGTTGCATAAAATATCAAACTGTCAAAACAACGCTAGAAGTTTATTAGAATAGAATGCTTTTACGCCCCCTACGTGACTCAAAATGAACCATTTCAGAGATTGTGCAGTGAGACCCCAAACAAGAACAATGTTTATGAATTAGACATGAAATCATCATCCATCACCTCACACAGGAATCTCAGGACTCTGGAATGATCTGCAAACCGACAGCCAGTATCCACCAATCAATGACAGTTAAGATTGCGATTTGTAATTTCATAATTAGCATTCCCATATTTCATCCGCAAACACGTAAGTCATATTAAGGAAAGAGATGTGCCTCGGAAAAATAAGAAGGAACATCGATGATGGGGGAATTCTTTTTCTTATTTCAAGTTGGGGAAAAATACAAATAAAACAACGGGCTTAAAAAAGAAAGCAAGAAATCTTTCATACAAATCAAGGGTCTTCTGCTGTTCTTCCCACCCACTCGTGTTCTCATTCCCCCTCAGTATTTATGGAGGAAATATCTAATAAATCTAACACCGTGAACGTTCAACTCGGCAGAATCTCATGTTATGTCAGCAAAGAAAGTGAAAATGAAAAAGAATAGTGACTTAGTCAATGTAATATTTTCCTGCTCTCTACAAAATATATCCACTGGAAAAAAAATCTCTAAATTTCACATTGCAAAGTTTGGCACTGGGGTATGGTCTTCCACGTGGTTACTTGATTAAGTGTCTCAAAGTTGAGTATTGCTTCCTTCCGAGAGTGTGACACAGCTAATACAGTGACGTACTAGCCTTATTATCAATTTCACTTCCAGTAATGCCATGCTCTTTTCCTCCCAGTCTCTCATCCAAAAATATGTCTTATTTTCTCAACCAATTCTCGTTTCCCATGTGCCGCATAAATACTTGAAAGTAATTCGTAGGCAACAGAGGATTGTGGCTGCAATTTGATAAGGAGTACAGCTACCTCTCTCCCATGATTTATATTCCCAAGCATTCTACATAAACCAGTTGAAGAATTCCAAACATGGTCACTTGGCTTAGAATCCATCACCTTCAGATCCTTCACTGATTCATTAAAACACCCAGCTTGACCCAAAATATTAGTTAAGCATGCATAGTGTTCTTGGTCAGGGACGACACCATGTTCACTAGTCATGGACTTGAATAAATGAAGTCCTTCCTGTACAAGACCTGAATGAAAACAAGCATTTAAAATGGCAACAAAAGTAGTCCTATTTGGCTTCACACCTGATCTTAGCATATTATATAGCATCATAATTGCTTCTATGCCATAGCCATAGTGAGCCAATGCTGATATGATTGTGTTCCACAAGACTACATCTTGTTTTATTCCAGTAAAATTAAAGACTCGCCTTGCGGTTTCCAACCTTCCACATTTCAAATACATGTCAACAATAGCACTAATTACAATAGAATTTGGTTTGATGCTATTTCGTACCAAAAACGCATGTATTTGTTTGCCATACTTCAACGAAGCAATAGTGGCACAAGCTAAGAGGCAAGCACTGAATGTAAATTGATCAGGTCTAACTTGATGCTGGATCATCTCTCTAAACACTCTAAGTGCTTCATGACCCTTACTGTTTCTAGAGTAACATCTAATCAAAGATGTCCACGAACATGAATTGCTTTTAGGCATTTGACTAAACAACTCAGCGGTTGATTCCATGTCACCCCATGCAACATAACCCGAAACTAGTGTCGTCCACGCACGAACATCCCTCATAGGCATGTCATCAAATAATCTCCTTGCATCTTCCATTTTTCCACATTTTGCATAAGCATCAACAATTAAGCTAGATATAACCACATTGGACAAAAAACCAATAACTAAAACTTGCCCATGGACCTGCCTACAAAGTTCAAACTCCTTCAACTTTACAGAAACAATCAAGACACCGGCAAAACTAAACTCATTATACCGCGCAGACAATCTCCTAAATTGTCGATAAAATCTCAAAGCCTCGTTTAATCTCCCACAGTGTGCATACCCAGACACCATTGAATTCCAAGATACATGATCCTTGTGAGGCATTCGGTAAAAGAAGTTCCTAGCCTGCTTCATCATGCCCAATTTAGCATACCCCGAAAGCATATTGTTCCAAGTGAACAAATTTGTATTGTCCATCTTGTCGAACACCTGGCGTGCCAGAACAAAATCACCGCAGCTGAAGTACATGGAGATCAAGTGGTTGGCAAGAAGCGTTGGGGGGCGTTTAAAACCGGTGAGCTTTAAGTGGAGGTGAATCAACTTGCCCTCTCGGAAAGACCTGGTTTTGGAGCAATGGCGCAAGAGTGTGGCGAGAATGTGAGAGGGTAAACGAATGCCCTTGAGACGTAACAGGTCGAGAGAAGAAACGACGTCGGAGAGGGAAGATTTGGATAAAAGGGATTTGACGATGCAGATGTTGTGGGGTGATTTGAGGGTTGGGAACGAGGGAGATGGCATTGGCATTGGCATTGGAGAGAAAGACCATGTGAATGTGAAGGATGCAAGTGTGACTTGAACAACTTCATCATCTATGTCACCGACGATGAATGAAAATATGAGAAGAAATTGGAAGGAGACTTGGATGTTAGATTCGTTGAACCAGCTCCGGCCACCATGGACGGCGGATCATGCTCAAACCAATACGGGTCAACTGCACATTGCTCCGCGCCCGCTGCTCTCATAGAACTGTATTAACCGCAATTGAAAAAGAAAAATAAAAACTCCTTTTTTTTTTTCTAATTACACAATAACGATAATGACAATAATAATAATGATAATAATAATAATAATAATAATAAATAATATATCTGTTTCTATACAATAAATTGAAAATAAAGTGACATATCTAAAATTATGAAGAAAAATTAAAGTAAGAAGAAAAACACGTGCTTAAATTTTAAAACTACAATTTACGGTAATATCAAAATTTATCAATGAGTTTATTTTATACAGAAATGAAATTATGTTGTTATGATATTTGTACGTAAAAAGTGTAACGTTGTGTATTTACGAAAAAATTACATACGGATAATTTAGTTTAATAGAATATTTAAAATATTTTTTAATAAAAAAAATCAAATATTATAAATTAATAAGAGTATTTTAATTTTTTAAAATAATGTCAAATGTAATCTTAAAAATAAAAATTTTTAATTATTAAAAAAATACTAAATTTCAATTAATATATTTTTTATTCATACTTGTTTTAAAATGTGATGATTTAATCTTAATTTGATTCAAATTAATATGATATTGAAATTTAATTTGATCTAATATTATATAATTTTATAATTGCTTAACCAAATTTAGATTTGTCTAATCCGATCTAATCTTTTTTAATTACATCTAATTATCAAAAATAAATCTTAATTAAATTTATCTCAATTTCACTTCTTTTGATTTAGCTTAATTCATTTTATCTAACATTTTCTTTTACTAACTTATTTCATTTTGATTTGACTTATTCAATTATAAAATTTGATTTAATTCGTCTTGATCCAACTTTATAAGACTTGACTATTCATTATAACTCAACCTAATGCATTCTAACATAGTTCAACACAATTCAACTTAGTTTAACCTTATTTTACCCAATTTTCCTAATCCAATATAACTTATTTTTATCAAATTTAATTTTATCAAGTTGAGTATATCTTATCTAATTTTACTTATTTTAATTTACTCATGTCAAGAAGTGTTAATTTGACCAAATTCATAATAAATTTATTATATTTGATTGAAATAAAAAAATTTATCTAAAAAATCAATAGATTTTAATTATTAAAATAAATAAATTGAAAATTAAAATTATTTAAAAGAAATAAATAAATTTAGTATATTTTGATCAATATAATACAAGTTGTTTGATTATTTTTTTTAGTTTTAAAACTACAAAAAAAATATTTAATACGAGTTTTTTCACTTACTATAATTAATATTTGATCAAAGAGAAATAATGTTATAAATGTGAAAAAGTAATTCAATCATAAAAATCGTATTATATATATAGAGAGAGAGAGAGAGAGAAAGAGATATAGATATAATATTATCATTTTAATAAAAAAATTAATTACTCATACGATTTAACCATTAAATTGTATTTTTTTTATCTCTTACACCTAAAAAATATCAATTTCAGTCTTTACCTGTACAATTTTAATCACTTTTAGTTTTTATTCACGTTATTTTAAATCACTTTTAGTTTTTATCCTCTAAACTCATGTGATGAAATAAAAGAATTTAAAATAATATTTACAATAATTAAAATAAATAATTTTTAGGTATATAGTATTAAAGTTAATAAAAATTAACTCTTATAATGACCTGCGAGTGAATGTTTCGTAAAATGTGATATCAAAATATTTAAACGTAATACTTTAGGAAAAAAATATTAATTTAATAATTTCAATATAGACTTCTGATAAATACTTTAAAATTTATGTAAAAAATATATTGTTATAATTTTCAAAACTAAAAAACGTAGCTGCAACTTTTTTTTTAAAGATCAAGTTAATTTTCAAAAATAATAATTTTAAAATATAAATCAATATTTTATTTAATAAAATTAATTTCAAATAATACTTGATCTTTTATAAGGCATGTAATCAATTAAATAAATTTAACTAATAATTACAGAGTACAAAAATATTTTTGAATTTTTTATCGTTGTTTAATAATATTATTAGAAGATATAAAATAATTTATTTACATTCAATTCAATTTAATAATGTAATATATATATATATATATATATATATATATATAATTAATAAAAATATTTTAAAATTTATGAGCTTCAATTTTACTCTTTAACACTTACATTATCTAATCATATTATCATTTTAACACTTACGTTAGCTATTGTTATGTAAGTTAATATTTTTAAATAAGTATATTAAATATGGATTTGATATAAATTAATATATGTTAGATGATTTAAAATGGTTAGATTTGATGACTCAATCCATCGACCCATTTTAAAAAATAACAGAACAAGTTGATAGTTCTAGTTTTTAATTAGAATGATAAAATAAGTTAATTATGTCATTTTGATTCGGTAGTCTCTCATTCACAAAAAATGAGACGATAAGATTAACTTAATATAATCAAGATGACTATAAATCTCAACACGACCGACTAATAAATTTGTTTATATAAATTTATTTATGTCTTTTTTTAAAATATATATTTAATTATATAAATAATTGTTGTCATTCTTATTTATTAATTGGTATTTTTATTAGATAAATTATAAAAAATATTATATTTATATATTAAAATAATTAATTATAATCAATAATTTAGACTTAATTACTTAATTTATATAATTTAAATTATATTATTATAATTTAAACATAAAAAATATAATATATTTAATTATAATTATTTTTATTTTAATATATATATATATATTAGACGAGCTAGTACGTTCCGACTCGTTCTTAGTCCACTGAATTGACAAGCTAGGTGAGACGATCAATTGGTGGGTTAAAATCATCAACCTATCTCACCCCACCCTTTGGCTTGTACAGTTAGTGAACTCTAGTGAGTTCACTAATCTATCCTGTTATTTTTTAGGCAGATTAACGAGTTAGACTCATCGAACCTAGCCTATTTTGATTCATCCCGCATAACTCACAAATCGGATAGGTCAAGGGGTAGGATAAACGAGCTAATCTACTTAAAAAAAAGTTATATATTAAAATAAAAATAAAAGAATAATAATTACAAATATTATATTTTTTATGATATGTTACTAAGATGTGTAAATATTATAATATTATAATTTAAACTATAAATATTAACCGATTAAGTTTAAATTATTCATTATAATTAATTATTTTAATACACAAATATATTATTTTTTTCAATTTATCTAATAAAAATATGAATTAATAAATAAAAACTTAAAAATTATTTATTCAATTAAAGACATATTTTTAATATTATATATATATATATATATATATATTTCTATAGAAAAAATATTGATAGTTGATCTGCTAACTTATTAGTCTTCTTTTGAAAATAAGACTGAGTTGTTTTATCATTCCTAATTCATATCTATCAAAAAGTTAACATTTGAACATATATTTATACTAATTCACTATTCTGTCCCACAACCATTATTAATACATGATCATATCCATATAAGGTTACTATCATGTTACATATAGTTTAGACAATTTATAAAATACTAAATTAGACATAAAAAAATCAACACTTCTTATAATATAACTCCTGAAGTGTTTAACATGAAACTAATCAATATGGTATATATATATATATATATATATATATATATATATATATATATATATATATATATATATATATATATATATATATATATATACTCAGTACAATTAAAATAAATTTTTAAATGACTTATTAATAAAAAAATAATTATTTTTCACATCATATGTAAGAAACTGTTTTGGTGTTTTTATTTTTTTCATTAATGTGATTTTAAATATAAATAGGATGAGAATATTTTAATGAAATATATATATATATATATATATATATATATATAAAAGGTAAATTTTTAAATAATTTATCAATAAAAAATAATCATTTTTCACATTATATATGTCATTAAAAAGCTCTTTTAATATTTTTTATTTATTTATGTGATGTTAACTATAAATAGATGAGAATATCTTAATAAAAAAATTATTTTTCAAATGATAAAATTTATTAAAGATATAATAATATTATAATATATAAACAAAATATAAATTTTATTTTGTAAAATTAAGTTAAATATTATAATATAATACTTTTAATGCAATATTTTTTTATAAATATCTTCAATGATTATTTCTATTGAATAAAATAAGGATACGGAGATATATAGTATTAAATTTAATAGTAATGATATATAATAATAATTAATGAAAAATAAAGATAAAGTAATAAAATATACCAAACTCATATCCTTCAATAAAATATTAAATTTGAATCAATAATATAACCGTGAATACATAATTATAATAAAAATATTTATATAATATAAACTTTTTCATTATATATATATATATTTATTAATCTCTTCATTATATATATAAAATCTTTTAGTCAATAAAAAGATCATAAGAATCTGTCATAAAAAAATACAATATTGGTCTCTTTTAGTCAACTTTGATAACATTATTTTTTGCGAGATAAATGAATTACACGTTACTCATTTGACATATTAAGAAATTTATGGTGTACTTGTATTAGTTTTTGAATAAAAGAGTAGTAAATTAAATACAAAATAATTTTTTTGAATAAGTTTTATATAAAACATAAAAACACGGATAGTAATTAAAAGTTAGATAAGAGTTTAATAGAAATGAATTGAATTGAATATCGCCCGGTGATTAATTAATAAAAAAATAGTGCGTTGGGACGTTAAGTGTGGATGATCAAAGTTGCGAGTGTCGACATCGAGAGACGGTAAAGGTCCGCGGTCACCCATGTGAAACGCGAGCCACATGATGCAATCAATCAAATCTATATCAGGAAACCCTTAGTCCACTTTTCATCCACGTCACCATGATTTGCGTATTCGACGACGATTCCTATGCGCCCTTCCCCACCCTCCGATCCATATCCCTCACTCCAATCTCCCACCCTTCATCTATCCTTATCTCATATTTCACTCCACCTCTTTACTACTGCTATTGCAATTGCAATCGCTAACCCAAAAGTAAAGACACAACGCTCTCTCATCTCATTTTATGAAAACACTTTCTTCTCTCCGTTTCATTTCACCCCAACTCACTCACTCACTCACACCTTTACACCTCTCTCTCTCTCTCTCTCTCTCTCTCTCTCTCCCCCCCCCTCCCCCTCTCTCTCTCTAATCCACCCCTAGTTCGCAGGTTAGCATTTCTCTGTTTTCTCCTTTTATATTCAAGGTTTCTTCTGTTTACTTTAATTTATGTTAAACCCTAATCCAATCCGCACTATGAACCTGCTTCTCATTACTTCATTCACTTCGTAATTCCGTTACTCTCCTCTCACAACATTATTGTTTTTTATTCAAACGTTTTATTGTATCTTAATTGACTGTTATTGTTGTTGAAACTTTTAACTTGTAATTTGAAATAATGATGTTAATGTTTCCGTGCTTGCTTGCTTGGTTTCCCCACCGCCTTTATATTTTCTTATCGTTTATGTCGGTTATGTGGCTTTCTGATTTCCCCCCCTTTATGATGAATCTAGGGTTTCTGAGTGACGTCGAGGATTTGTTATGGATTATCAGGATGATGGTTTTGGTGCCAATGGCGGGGGAGAGAGCAAGAGAGTGGGGGAAGGGGTTTCTGAGGAGAGTATGGTGGGGTCCGATGGTTTGAAGGGTTTAAATGTAAAGGAGAATTTTCAGGAGGTGGTAGAGCCACGAGAGCAGGTTCATGACCAAGGATCCAAACTCTATCCGGGGGAGGCCGTAGTTGATAAACAGGATGATGCCGCCACTAGAAGTGCATTGACTTCAGTTTTGGTGGATGAAAAAAGTCCAGATGTCGTTCAGGAGCCTGGTTCCTCTAATGAGGCTGTTGGGGCTGATACTGGGCATGGGAAGCTGGGGGAAACTGATGTAATTGCTAATCAGGATTTGGAAAGGGATGGGGTGGGAGTTGATAGTATGCATCTGAATGGTGCTGGTTCTGGAGTGCCTGGAGATGGAGAATTTTTTGATGAGTCTAAAGGTTTTGGGGATTATAATTTGGAGCATAGTGATGGGGGTGGTGGAAAGGAAGAGTCTGGGTTAAATTCCGATTTAGAGGTGTTAGATAAGGAGAATGATGCTATGGTGGATGAATACTCTGGTTTGATAAGTGAGAAGGCTGAAGTTGATGATTCTGTATTCGTGACTCCTAGAGCAAATGGTGGTATAACATTGGATGATATAAGCATAGACAAGGATGACGGTGTTGCTACTGAGGATATTTTCAAATATGAATCCAGTGAGGTCATTCCAGCTGAATGTACTGATGCTGGGCATTTGAAGGAGTGTGACGTTGATCCTAAACTTGGAGATGACGAGATAGAAGTGAAGTTAAATGCTTCGGTTGATTCTTCTGGTGAGATTCAAGATGGTACATGTGAAGAAGTGCATGTCAATTCAGCTCACATGAATTTAAAACAACAGGATGAAGTAACTAGGGATGTGAACAATGATACTTTGGGCGCTGACATAAGCCATGGGGATAGCAATGGTGAAGAAGTGAGTGCCTCAGCCATTCTGAATGCTGAATTAACTGGTTATGGAAATGGTGATGCTGAAGATGAAAGGCCATCCATTTTGGAAAATCCCCCTACTAATGAGACAACGACTATTCAGGAGGCTAGTGCAGCTGATCCAAAGGGAGGAAGTATTAAGGATGATCAATCTCTGATTTCTGATGAAAAGCTTAGGGACGATGACAACACTTCTGTGGTTGAGGAGCCTGAAAGTATACACGAGAAGATTATTCAAGGGACAAAAAGCTCACAAGTAACTGGAGAGCAACTTGTTCAACCTTCAGCAGATATTTCTTCTTCATCTGAAAGGTCTGCTGATACTAGGCTCCCCTCTGCTCGTCCTTCATCTGAAAATTCTACTGGGGCTGGTCCAACTCCTGTTCATCCAGCTGGCCTTGGTCGGGCAGCTCCATTGCTAGAACCTGCATCTAGGGTGGTGCAGCAGCCTCGTGCTAATGGTACCGTGTCTCATGCTCAGGCGCAGCAAATGGAGGACTCCTCAAGTGGGGAGGCTGAGGAGTATGATGAGACACGTGAGAAACTTCAGATGATCAGGGTGAAGTTTTTACGGTTAGCTCATAGGCTTGGGCAAACTCCCCATAATGTTGTTGTAGCTCAAGTTTTATATAGATTAGGACTAGCTGAGCAACTAAGAGGAAGGAATGGGGGCCGTGTTGGTGCTTTTAGCTTTGACCGTGCAAGTGCAATGGCTGAGCAGCTTGAAGCCGCAGGTCAGGAGCCACTTGATTTCTCTTGTACAATAATGGTCCTTGGAAAGACAGGAGTTGGTAAAAGTGCCACGATCAATTCTATTTTTGATGAGGTTAAGTTTAATACCAGTGCTTTTAATATGGGAACCAAGAAGGTTCAGGATGTCGTGGGAACAGTGCAGGGTATTAAGGTACGGGTCATTGATACGCCGGGACTTCTACCTTCCTGGTCAGACCAACGAAGCAACGAGAAGATCCTCCTCTCTGTTAAGCACTTCATTAAGAAAACTCCACCTGATATTGTGTTGTATCTTGATAGGTTAGATATGCAAAGCAGGGATTTTAGTGATATGCCACTCTTACGCACAATAACAGATATTTTTGGGCCATCCATTTGGTTCAATGCCATTGTAGTACTGACTCATGCAGCATCTGCCCCTCCTGAAGGCCCCAATGGTACTGCTTCTAGTTATGACATGTTTGTGACTCAGCGTTCTCATGTTGTGCAGCAAGCCATTCGCCAAGCAGCTGGTGACATGCGTCTCATGAATCCTGTATCCTTGGTAGAGAACCACTCTGCTTGCCGAACTAACAGGGCTGGCCAGAGAGTATTGCCAAATGGCCAGGTTTGGAAACCTCATTTGTTACTTCTATCTTTTGCCTCTAAAATTCTGGCCGAAGCAAATGCTCTTCTTAAGTTACAAGATAGTCCACCTGGAAAGCCTTATATAGCTCGAGCACGGTCGCCTCCGTTACCTTTTCTTTTGTCTACCCTTCTCCAATCCAGACCCCAGTTAAAGCTGCCAGAGGAGCAGTTTGGTGATGAAGATAGTCTTGATGATGACCTTGATGAGGCATCAGAGTCTGAAGATGAAAATGAACATGATGACTTGCCACCATTTAAGCCTTTAACTAAGGCCCAGGTGGAAAAGTTGTCTAAAGCTCATAAGAAAGCATATTTTGATGAGTTAGAGTATAGGGAAAAGCTTTTGATGAAGAAACAATTGAAGGAAGAAAAAAAGCGACGGAAATTGATGAAGAAAATGGCAGAAGCAGCAAAAGATCTGCCCGGTGACTATAGTGAAAATGTGGAAGAAGGTGGTGGTGCAGCTTCTGTTCCTGTCCCCATGCCAGATTTGGCCCTGCCTGCTTCTTTTGATTCTGATAACCCCACTCACCGTTATCGATATCTTGATTCATCAAACCAATGGCTTGTTAGACCTGTTCTAGAAACTCATGGATGGGATCATGATGTCGGTTATGAAGGTTTGAATGTAGAAAGATTGTTCGTTGTCAAGGACAAGGTACCTTTGTCTTTCACGGGTCAGGTCACTAAAGATAAAAAGGATGCTAATGTTCAGATGGAAATAGCTGGCTCAGTTAAGCATGGGGAAGGGAAAGTAACTTCATTAGGTTTTGATATGCAAACTGTGGGGAAGGACTTGGCTTATACATTACGAAGTGAAACAAGATTTACTAATTTTAGAAGAAATAAGGCAACTGCCGGTCTCTCATTTACTTTACTTGGTGATGCCTTATCGGGTGGAGTTAAGATTGAAGACAAATTGGTTGCTAGTAAGCGATTCAAAGTGGTTATCAGTGGTGGTGCAATGGCAGGGCGCAATGACATTGCTTATGGTGGCAGTTTGGAGGCCCAGTTGAGAGATAAAGATTACCCTTTAGGTCGTTTCTTATCTACTCTTGGGCTCTCTGTTATGGATTGGCACGGAGATCTTGCTGTTGGGTGCAATGTGCAATCTCAGATCCCAGTTGGACGACATACAAACCTGGTTGCCCGCGCCAATTTGAACAACCGAGGGGCAGGACAAATAAGTGTTCGATTGAACAGTTCAGAACAGCTTCAAATTGCTTTGGTTGCTCTTATCCCTCTCGTAAAGAAGCTAGTGAGCTATCCTCAACAACTGCAGTATGGACAATATTAACGATGATAGTGTTAGTTTATTTCAGCTGCAACACTTGCATGGTAATAGGAATGACTCCAAGATGGCATCTTTCATGAAATGAGTGATACTGAGTTTCGCTATGTTTTTTATACTCAAGTTTGTCTTATTTGATCGTATAGTACTTTTCGTTGTTAGCTATTCTCTATTGATGTTTTTGTTATATTATGCTGCTGAACTCCAGGAATTACATCATTTTTACTCTTGTCTTCTGCGGATATACTTGATGCCTTGTAAATTCTTCCCTTCTTTCTTTCTTTCTTAGAATGTTGTCACTTGTACTTTACGGTTTCTTCATACTCTAATGGCAGTTTATGCTCTCGTTGCTATTCCCTCAAATTTTGCTTATTGGTTTTTGCCCCGTCGCATAGTATGCGTTTATCATCCCATTCAAATCAACATAATGCTGCTACTTTAAATTATTAGAAAGGTGTAGTTGGGACTCTGCCAGCGAAGTTCCAAAAGAGGTCATACCTATTTTTCCATTCCATGATAGAATGCTTTTTTTGTGTTTTTATTTTCATGCATTATTGATTGTGTTGGTCCACTTTTTTCCTCATCCTTTTGTGGCGGTACATGCCGCAAATTAGTTGGCAAGTAAGATACAAAACCTCCATGACAAATTGGACAGCAAAAAGTCCTAGACGACAAGGGCTATTCCATTGATATATGAACTGTTCACTTTTCGACCTTTTGAGCACATTCAAGCTAAGTAAACTATCGGCTGGTGCTTGTAGTTAGTGAATGGACTATCTTATATTTCATTTGTCACCACCATGGGCAGCGGCCAAGCCAATTGATGGTTTATTTTTATTGTTTCTAAATATATTCACGTAACATGCAAATATTCTTGAGTACAAGCACATGTAGTCAATGAATAGCACTATGGGGAAAAGTTATTTTACTCATCAACTAGACACATGCCACCAGCATGCCTGGAATTTGTGAATCATTTAGATGGGAAATTTCAATACTCGAAAGTGACAGTCATCGCCCCTACAAAACTTTATCAAAACTCCCATCCTACTCCGTTGTTAGCCTTGTCTTGGATAAAACTGGATGGATTTTTTTATTTTATTTTATCAGTATATTTGTATTTTTTAATTGAAATAACAAAAGGTATCGGCATTTCAAAAAAATATAAAAGAAAAATAACACAAAAATAAATTAAGAAAAATAAAAGTTTTACTGATATTTATGAAATTGAACTATGTATGTTAAGATATGGCACCACTGTGCTAATAATATAGAAAGAACACACAAGAGAGTGCTATACACCTATATATAATATAGTAATAGTGAACAAATTTAAGATGATTTATATAAAAGAAATAGTTGAATGAAGGAGGGTGACGTTGTAGCCGACTATGGCATCACCTGTGATGGGATCAAACCAATGAGTCTTGGCGATGGCGTAGCCACGTGCCATACGGAAGAGTCCAGTGCCACCAACAATAGGCATCTCACGAAAGGGGTTCAAGGCAGAGTTCTTTCCAAGAAGCACGAAGGAGCTTCCATTGTATGGGCCGTCCATGAAGGAGAAGGTCATGGCCATCATAAGCCCAAGTTCCTGCTGACATGACGACCCATAAAGCCCCTGAGCCCGACCCACTATTTTGGACTTCGGGTTTGCTGTCTCGGTTAATGGGTCATCCGCCATCATGATAACCCCAAAGAGTGTCAATGATGACTTGCTTTTGTCAATCGGCTCGGCCACTCGAATCGCACTCGGATTTTTCCCACTCAATGTGTCGTGAAAATAGAATTGCAGGTTCGTCACCATTTCTTCCTTCTTCCCTTTGAAACTCGCACCCCAATTTCCTGCTTTCAATTTCAATTTGCGAGTCTCTGGCATTGCACTCATTTCGCTTATTGTAATAAGCATCATCACCACCACCAAGCTCTGCCTTACCATATTTGATCTTTTGAGTATATGATGATCGATTATTTTCCTTCTCTTTGCATCTGTAGATTTATTCTAGTTGTATATAAATGAGTAGATATCTCAAACACAGGTATTTCTTGTTTCGTTTCTTTCTATTCAAGTTCTGTCAGTTACTTGTTTTGCTATTCTTTTTTTCTTTCTAAAAGTAGGTTACATGAATGGAAAATTTGTTCTCTTCAACAAAAATTCCAATGGTGGTTTAACAACGCTGAATGAAAAACGTCTTTTCGTTTAGCTTTTCCAGCTCATGAGGTTCAGCTTTCCATAATTCTTTTGTTTATAGGTATACATGTAGTTGTTTACCTGTTTTCGTTACTAAAAATAACGTTGAATCGGTTGTTATTACCGATGGAAAACAAACTGCATATAATAAAATTTCAAGAATAATACTATTATTTGTTATGAAATTTTCATACGAGTGTTAGAAATATTCAATTGTCAATATTGATTGAAAAAATTATAATCAGGTTTGAGTAACAAGAGTTTTTAGTCTTGATGGTAAAAAAAGGTTTGATAAAATAGGAAGAAAATGCACAAATAGGGAATTATTAAAAGTAGTGTACATAAAATTGAGACATGTTTAACTATTTAAGTATGTTATATCTGTAACTAATTAGGAGGACAAGTAGGAAGGGAGATGAAAATGTAAAAGAAAACTTGGGGTATAGAGCGATTTTCAACCAAGAAACAAAGAAATTTACGTGTTTGACCCAAAAACAAAATACATTGAGTGAAAGAATAAAAATAGGTTAGACATTTTATGTGAGTAAAAAGGTTAGGTAAACGCATGCCTATAAAACAAGTCAAACAATTCATAACTTACCCTTTTTAGTGATTAAAGTTATATTGTATAAATGGCCTGTGTGAAGTAAATAAGTGATGATGAAGTGGAGGTAAAGTTCGTACTACTACTATTAATCTAAACACGATGGTGTATACATACTAAATAAGGGTGATTGATGTTGAGTTCAATAATCTTGGTTAGTGACCCTCGTTCACCACTTTGGAATGGTAAATTTTGTTTTTATCTTTAATACATTAAGATAGGCCTCATAGGATATTGGATCCGATATAAGAATTAAAATATGAATTCCTTAGTCCTTTATTTTTAGAAACTGTTGACACCCAACAATCACATCTACCACATCATCAGCTGCATACAAAACTATCCTAAATATGACCTGTGCAAAAATACCGATTACTAGAACTTTTAGATATTAGTAATTCAAAGAAGCTAAAAGGTATCTTGTAGCAGAAAAGTACTATTTTGGAAACTGGATTTAATCACACGGTTTAAAAATCAGTCAATTACTTATAAATAATTATATTTTAATTAGATCGGATCATAATCGGAAATATTAGGATAAAATTGGTAAAATTGATTTAATTTTTGGGTCAGTTTTGATAAAAAAAAATATATAATTTTTTCTAAAAAATATAATATATTTTTATTTTTACTCATATAATTACGTCAAATTTAATAATAGTTATTTTATTATATTTTTATTTTATTTTAATAATTATTGATATTATATTTTTTATTTTATTTTAATAATTATTTATATTATATTTTTTAATATATTTTATATTTATAATTTTAAAAATAATTTTTATTGTAATTTAAGGTAAATATGATATTATTATTTTTATTTTGTAAAAATATTATTATTATATATTTATTATATTATAAAAATATTATTTTATTAGAAAAATATTTTTTTACACCCACATTTTTTGAACATTTAGACAATTTTTAAATATTTTTTATTAATTAATAGAAAGAGAATAAAATAAAATAGATAAATAATAATATAAAAAATCTAAGTGAATGTTTAATGAATGTTTGTTAATATATCATAATCCTATTTTATTAAATTTAATTGGATCTGAAACCGATTAAATCTTTAAATTTTGATCTCCATTTTCAAAAATATTACATATAAATAATATGATTAAAATAATATAATAAAAAATAGACAAATATTATTTTAAGATGGTCATTCAGATTATATTCAAAAATGAAAATAATATCAGATGTATTTTAATGATATTTTTTTGTTCTTTCTATTAAGTCACTCATCATTCCACCACAACTACAAATCTCAAATTTTAAAACTTTATGCATAACATAAACAATTTCGGTGTGAGAAAAGTTGTCAAAGTCTCCGTTAACCCGTATGCAGAGTCTTATTTCAATGTGAGAAAAGTGTGTCAACCATCCCAATTGCTGTCTCTTGAATTAACAAAGCTTCTTGGATTTAACTAACCTATATTACAAGATAGATTGCATATTATCACTTCTTATTATCCAATTGCGTGTTGAGGACGCCGAATTGGTATATGATTCCTCAATTACTAGTGGGTTTGAAGCCATATGTTTCAGTCTCTAGATAAACTGAAACCATGTTAGTTGCACAAAAGGATTCTACTTATGAGATACACCAATTAAATTACAAACTAGTTATGCACTATTTAAAGGATGTGTAAATCTGAATTTCTGAATTTTAATTATATGCAACAAATATAAATTAAGTTGGAAATTCTTTTACCTCTAATATACTATATGACAATCATGGTTTTTGTATTCAATTGGCTTAATCAGTTACCCAAGTAGTGCATTTTTAACAAATTATTCAAATAATTCCATAACACGATAATAGCTACCAGTTAACTTCATGTCATACATGTTTTACTTATCATTTCTTTTGTACATGTAACTTTTTAGAAACTTAGTATTTTGTTCATAGAAAAATGTGATTTTTTTTAATGCGTCTGAAAAAGTATTTAAAGATATTAGACAGTATTTTGTTCATAGATAAATTGAATGTTTTTTTAATGAGTGTGTAAAAGTGTGTTTAAAGACAATAGGCAAATTTTTTACAACATAAATTAGTATTTCGTTCATAGATAAACTGAATGTGTTATGATGTAAACATAAAATAAAAATTCTAAACCAATAATAATTAAGGAAAGTACCACTTAAGTTCTTCCTTTTTTTTAGTCTAAATTATGTCAGGTTCTCCTTCATCAACAATAATCAAATTTATTACAAATTATGTATTTTCTTCCTTCAACTTTTGCCTTACAATCAATTTATGTCACTTTTGACTCACTAATATTCTTTATATCACTTGAGAACACCCAAGTACTATTTCCTTAATTATTTTTTACTTTCACAAACAGGAATTATGTATAAGAGTGAGGATTATGTTTCAATAACACTCGGCAAAATAAATATAACTCTTCCGAGTATTTCAATGTAAAGAATTTCTCATAGCAGTGTGAATTATGTCGTCTAGTAGTAGAATATTTTTTTTTTCACTTGATTCTATGTTTTCTTTCTTTTAATATTGTGATTGTGTCCTCTTTATTCATGTTTTTTTTTTTAATTTTATAGATGCTATAAAAATATCTATTGTAAAATCTATACAATCTTTTATATCTTAGATAACAAAGCTAGATTACCAATATCTTAAATTTCACCCCGTATTTTGTTTATTAATTTTTAATTTCACAACACAACATCGATTATAGATAAAAAGAATATATCTTTAAGATTATAAATCATACATTTTCTTATATGTATATAAAATATAAAAAATATTATATTTGAACAAGAGAAATTATAACTAATAAATGAAATATTTTAAATTGATATTGTTATAATATTGACATTCTAATTTTAATAATTATGTTTAGATTTATAATCTTGATATTTGTTTTATTTAAATGTATAAATTTCATACGTTTGAACAATTCATCGTCCAGTGCTTTAGGCCACAAGGTTAATAAAGTACGTAGAATACTAACGTGTAGACGCATGTGGCAAAACTGATGAATATTTTTAAAAAAGGTGTTGGAATAGACCAAACTTTAAGGATGCAGCCTCGTAAAGATGCACCCACGATACTAAAAAGATGTGCTTCAACTAACATGGAATTTGTTGTGGTTAATCGAAATCCAAGTATAGTTTGTAACAATCAACACCAGAAGCTTATCGTTTGTAGGCCTCTCTACTATCCAAGTCGCATACGTACAGTGAACAAGAATATTTATTTGATCAAAGAACGTTTAAACGCAATCCAAAATCCGAAATTCACCACCAAGCTTATATAGATTACGAATGTAGAGACACATTACGGCAATGTTTTTCCGACAAACATACTCATAAAAACGACTGCCTAAGCTACCAACACTTCTACCAAAAATGTAACTAAACTTTTTCAGTATTAATCTCTCACAATAAAACATAAAAAAGATTAGACGGACAAAACTTCAATGGGAAACAAAAAATAAGTTTTTGATATTCAATGTTCGTTTCCAACTCTCTTGTCGATCAATCTGCAGAGACCATAAGTAATTCATAGATCTTCAATTTTCTTCAACGTGTTCATCTTCAACTTTCTCAGCACTGTATTCAACAGCTCAACAGCGTCATAAATTAATGATGCATATGAGAAAATAGAAATTTTAACGCTCAGTTCCATTCAAATAATGACGTTTCAAGCTTAATTAATTATTACAAATAATGCTTAGATGATAAGTACATAAGGACATGAGTACTGATTCCATCAGAAAGTAAGACTTCAAATAATATTTAAAGTAAACAAAACCCAGTATACGGTACTCTACGAACATGGAACAGTTTTTGCTTGCAGATCTTCCAACAATCAAGAATTAGGGCTAGCTAAATGACTCAGCCTAAGGAGAGACAGCATCAATATATGCTTAAAAAACATATTGACATGGAGAATACAGAAAAAGTCAGTGACCAAATGTGTTAGCTAGGAGGCATGATATAGTAGGAGTCTTTCAGAAACACAGCACTAAAATTTTTCTTGCAATAGTACATAACAATGACCATGTGAAGGTTATATAACAAGCATCTCAACCGCATTATAAATAGATTAAAACAGTGCACAGACACAAACAAACTCATTGGGAACAGATTGAAAGTGCAAATTAATATCCCTGAGCGCATCTCAACCTGGCGAATTAACAATTCTGACCATTGGTTCATTTACTTTTTCCCACGTTGGCATCAGCAAGGAATACATTGAATCAATCAGTATCAAAAGAAGCTAATACTAGCAAGAAACATCCCAAATATGATTAAAGACACAGAGCAAAATCTCAGACACAAAAAACAAGTAACTACGAAGAAATAGTATCAGTGACAAACCTTTTAGGACGTTCATCATCAGATTGGGGCTTCCTCCAACTCCTCTCAGTGCGACCTTCAGGCAAAGCAGCACGTCCTCCTCCATTGGAAGACCCAAAAGCCCTCTTCCCAAAGCCATCACCACCACCACTTGTCTCCTTAATCTTCATGCTCTCAAGCTGTTCATCAATCTTTTTCCAATCTTGCCCTTTCTCCGCCAAAACCTGCTCCCTTGGCCTTGCTTCTCCGAACGGATTAACCCCTTTAAGCTTCCCCACATTCCCATCCTGCCCTTCATTGCTCACCGACAGTGTCCGAGGTTGCAAAACAAGCCTAGGCCTCCCTCCAACACCAGCACTCTCGCTAACAACGTTGGACTCGCCCTTCTTCTTGTTCCAGTCCTCGGAATCAGCGCCGCCGCTGGAGCCAAACCCAACAACCCGCCTCTCTCTCTCAAACCCTCCACCGTTGGACCCGAATCGCCTCCCATCCGACGGCACGAAGCTCTTATTCGAAACCCAGCTCTCCGATTCGTCGGCGCGCGACTGCGAATCGAAGAACCCTCCTCTATCCCTCTCCCTCCTCTCAAACCCTCCCGAGGGTTTCTTCGCCGCAGCCCAATTATCGGTCTCATCAGCGCGAGAAGGGGGAAGCTCACGATTCGAATCCTTAGCCCCAAACGAACCGTTTCGCCTGGGCTCGTCAGAAACCCTAGATGAACCCCAACGCGAATTGGAAGAAGAGTCGTCGCCCGAGGAGTTCCTATTGGGGCGGTCGCCGTAGGAGCGGAATCCTCCGCCGAGGCGGGTGCGGTCTAGCTCCTCGGCGGTACGCTGGCGCGGGCCGGTGGGTAGGACGACGGGATCTTGGTCCGCGAAAGTGCTGTCGGGCTTGGCTGTGAACTCGGCGAGGGAGTAGGTCTGGGCCTTCTTCTTCTTGGGCTTGGTGGCGGCGGCAACCGCTAGGGAGGGGAAGTCAGCGAGGGGTTTGGCGGTGTCTTGATTCTGTTGAAGGAGTTCGGCCTCGTGTTCCTCGGAATCGAGAGCCCAAGCGCCGGGCTTTGACCACGCAGTGACAGTAGCCGCCATTCTCTGATGCTCTTCACCACCTTCCTTTCCTTCTTTCCTTTCTTCTCTCTTTTCTTTCTTCTCTCTACGTCGCACCTTTGCGTCTTTCTTCAGCCACCCTCTGCCACGCGGTAGACACTTATATAGCCACCATCCACTATCATGTTTCGCTTATTCTTCTCTTTTTTCATTACATCTTTATTAATATCTTTTTTTTATATTTATCAATATTAACTATTTCAAATGAAATTCTAAGACCCAATGGTTTTGTTTCTTGTCATTTTTCTCAAATATTTTCTTTCCAAATTACGAGTTCTCAGAATCAACTTTATGTGTGAAAATAAGAATAATATTTTCCTTGTAGTTTAGAACGTTCGAAGGAAAAACATTAAATTTTAAAAATATAAATGTCAAAATAAAATTAAGAAAAAACAATGGGAATAGATTATTAATTTAGTGTATATATTATTGACTCACTAAATAATTAACCAAGCAAAAATAAACAATAAAGTCATTTTCTACAATCTAACCACCAAACAAAATTATCTTTTAAAATAAATTAAAATGGTAGAGTAGTATTTTATTTTCTTTAGTTATCTTATATAATGATGGTTTTTTTTTTAATTATAGTTTTATATTTTTTAAATACAATTTATGATTCCTTGTATCTAAATATTGGTTGTCAAATTAAATTAACTAACTAGATTTAGTTTAATAGATAAAAGGTTTCATAACTAAATTAAGATCAATATAAATTAAATAAAGTATATTTTATTCATGATTTATATGTATTTAGTTCGAATTAATTTATAGGTTAATATATTTTATAGAATAATAATAATTTTTTAAAATAAAAAAATAATTGTATTATTTTATTTATATATATATATATACATTTATTTATTTATGTATATTATAAATTAATTTGCCAAGGTATTAAAATAATAAATATCACAGTAAATTTTTTTATAATTACTTATTTAAACCTCTAATTAGATGTTGTTTTAAATTAATAAATTATTAAAAATAAATAATAATAATAATAATAATAATAATAATAATAATAATAAAGAGTAAGTTTTAAGTTTTTAATTTGATATTTTTAAATTTTCAAAACATGTTTATTTAAATATTTGTAATGAACTGATTTTATATAAATATGTTAATATATATATATATATATATATATATATATATATATTTTTTATTTTTTAATTTAATAATATCAAAATTGACCCTTAATCTATTGGCTTAACAAGTGAAACTAGACTAAAACTTTTAATCTTTCCATAATTTATTTTTACACCTCCATATCCCATATAAAATAACTAAAATACCATTCCAATAATTTTTGTTTCAAATCCTAAGATTTTCTTCTATTTTCTTGGGTATCTTCAGCACCTCCGCTGTTTATCTTTTGTATCTCCACAAATTTGTAGATTTGACTTCTTGTATTATTACTTTCATTTTAACATCGTTTCTAATACATAAAAATGAGTAATTATTAATATTATGTATTTATTATATGTTCTGAAATTATACATTTGGACTTAAATTGCTTGACCCAGAATAGTTTTTCAAAAATCAAATTAATGAAATGAATTTTTGAATTGATTTTTTTAGAAATATGTTCTGAAACAACCAATCTAAAATGCAGATTTGTTTATCTGAGAACAAGTTTTGGAAAATGGGTTCTTAAACAACATTTTTGGAAAAGATTATCTAAAACAAGTTTTAAAAATGGGTTATGGGATATATTTCTGGAATACATATCTGAGAATGATTGACCAGAAATGCATCCCGGAATCCACTTTTCATAAATTTCTAATCCTACTCCAAAATGTGTTGTCAGCCAAAATCTTGTTGCCCGAATACTTTATGTGATAACAAAATTCATACCAATTAGAAATAATTTGAGATTTTTAACTATTTCTTATAATTCTTCGAATAATAGGAAAAGAAAGAATGAAGATACTTTAAGTTTAAAATGAGACATTCAAATATTTAAAAATAAAAAATAAATATTTACGAGGATAAAGATAAATAAGAGGAAAATAGGATTTAATTTAATGTAGATGAATGTAGAAAAAAACAGGGTGTTAAAATATAAGTAATGTTAGATTGGTGATCTTGATAACTTTGCTTTTGATGGTTGATAATTGATCACGCAAAATTGGGAGATTTTATTATATTAGTGTAGTTTATCTTTTTATGTATGGAAATGAGTATATATTTTAAAAAATTGTAAAATGGATAAATCTTTGTTATAAAAAACAGTGTTTCTAAACATCATTTTTATTTTTAAAAAGTTAATATGCAAACGTGATTAGGATTGAATTTTTCTTGAAAAAAAAATAATTATCATAATATATTGCTAAAATTATATTTATTGAATAATTTTTTCAATTATTAAGTTGTAATTATTTTAAAAGAAAAATATTATAAAAATATTTTTTTCTAATTTTTATAATATAATATTTAAGATGCGTTATTATTTTTTATTATTAAATTAAAAATTAATAATAAAAAATAGAAGTAAGTGTGTTACTCTTAAATAAATGTATTTTTTATTTTTTTATGATATAATTATTTTTCAAAATTAAAATATTTTGAATGATTTTTGGTAATATGGTATTGGTTTGAGTGGGTTTAGGTTGTACTTGTCATAGTATGTGATCACAATTTATTGAACGTACTCCATTTTAATGATGGTGTCTGAAATACATGTCAAACATATCAATTATTCACGGAAGATTTCATAGAAGTAGAATATCTTATTGAAATTGTGGTTGTCAAAGAATCTGATTCATATTTATCTAGAAAAATTGGCTAAATCCTTGATTGAGCAAAATGTTGTTGATATTTACAAAGAATCAGCATGTTAATGATAAACTAAACTCATGTTATAGGACATCACTACAATTATATTTTAATTAAAGGTATGTATTCAAATACGATTTTTATGTAAAAATAGTGAAAAATCATTCATTCAAAGATGATTTTAATATATATAACCAAGATGGGCTTTTTTAAACACGACTTATATGTAATTTTAAAATCAAAATTGTGCATCCTAACAAGGCTTCTTTTTTAAGAAATTATTTTAGTAAAGTTTTATTTTGAACTGATTTTGGTTTCCTTCAATATACTCCTTCTCTCTATTTGCATAATTGTACCCATTTTTATAATTTCAAAAACAAATTTTATCAATACATTAATTTTGTTTATAAAAAGAGCTTTGATATTTAGACAATTTATTATTATATTAATATTAATAATTGTTGGGTAATTGATAATTGAAGAGGATTGCGAATATATACTTTCCCTATAGAATAAACATAATATGTTTCTACCTTGTCTTATCTATTAATTCCGTACCACTTTATTCAACAAAGTTTCGTGAAAAGGTGAAATTCCAGAATGTTTCTCACCCATATTTGTTGAAACGGCATTTCTTCTAATGGGTGATCTAATTCCAGTCTAAAAGAGGGGGGGAAAAACTGTAGAAAAAGTATAAGTTGATCGACATTAAGATTAACACCAGATTCGCGTCAAACTGAAGCATAATTTAACGAATTATTATATCTAAACCGCAAAAAGTGAGGAATGAGGATAGAACAAATTTTTCAAAGTTAGATGCTAAGCAAAAGTGCGCTAAACTCACCACCAGTAGCAGGTGCTTTGATGCGAATAACTCTATTATATTTGATAGTGCCCTCAAGTCTTGAGAAAGAAAACCAGGATAAAGAAAAAGATTGAAATAATTCGATGAACAAAAATAATCCACTTAAGCTGCAGAAGATCAGAAGAAAAAATATATTCATCATTTTCAGAACAAGTGAATAGTTTTATCATTTGCCTCATTCAAGAAATGAAATGATAAATGCAATAATTAAATAAATGAGAAAATACAGACCAAACTATATGAACAATTACTCGCTTCCTAATATATATATATATATATATGTGTGTGTGTGTGTGTGTGTAGAAAAATTACGACACAATAGAACATGGCATATGATCGCTCCAAAAATTTCATTGCAAATGAGAGTTTGGAAATGGTTCAGCACTTGAATCGCGATGATAGCATATCACAAGTTCTGAGATGGCTCCATTCAACAGCTGCTTGCAAACAGCATGCAAGGAGAACAATGGTTAGAGAACAACAGCACCATGGATGCTTGAATTCATTAAACTCCAGGACTAGCAATCTACACTGCACATGCACCATATCATATGACTATGGGCAGCTCACGTCAGTGTATCGGCACTAATGGAAGATATTCTCTTACATCAGCCTAACCTCGTATGAAAACTCAACGTTCGAGATAATCTGAATCGTTTATAAGGATGAGGCGATCATCCTCCACACCCTTCATCGAATCCTCACTAATAAACCATCTCGAGGTCTCTGCATCAAATAGAGAAGATACCATCACTTCCTTAAGTTTGATTGGCAATAGCGAAATCCCTAAGAGTAGTAACAGTCTATCAATGCATCAATAAACAAATGGAAACTGGCATGAATAAGATTGAAAGAAACATGTTTATTATTAAGTACTTTGCATATTAGATTCTTCCTGTTCTCTATTCATGTGCAATATGATTGTTCCCGAAAGAACGGTGATGAATCCGCATATCTCAGAGGTTATGCTGCTGACATCCTGACCAGACCAATCCTGCAAGTAAATAATCAAGCTTGTCATGTATTGTTCAACCACGAGAAGTTGAGATATCACCAAATGAATCAAAGAAATACGAATCAATTATCATACCTTAAACATTATTGCACTGGCAATTATAGTAAGAGTTGTGAACATTACATAATATACAGGAGAAACAATTGTCGCATTGAATCTATCCAGAGCCTGAAATGAAATAGTTTAATAGTGAAATATGCTCAAGATTTGATAAAAGCACTAGAACTATACTTATAGATATATCGTAGATGGGATGATAAGAAAAGTTTATATCAATGGGAACCTAAAGAACTGTATCAATTGAGAAAAGATTAGAAGAATTCTATTGCAAGTTAGCATCAAAAAATTGTTTGGATCAAGGATGTGGAAAGAAAACCTCCCGAGACTAAGTATTACATACACAGAAGACAGAACTGTTTACAACATTGTGTTTTATACTTCTATGTATAAATTTCGACGTGGACTTATTTCAAGATCTGTATCGAGTTCAACCTTCAATTTGTTCCCAGTTCTTACTTATGTGATAATACAGAATGCTAGATCCACTATCAACTACATCAATGGTTTCCTGGATTTCTAACAATTGCAATGCATTATTTAGCAATATGAATTACTTCGCACCATTCTGAAACGTAATAAAGCATCAAGTAGGGCCTTGTTTTGTTATCTACATGATCAGCTGTTTATAGTGTGCATGAAGGAAGGGCTTGTAACTGGCAAGCCATTGCCTTATAGGCAGTATGAGTTCTATATTGACTTATACTCCTTAGGATATAAACTTCTCTATAAGAACTTCCAAAAAAAAAAAAAGAAATTAAGAAAAAAAATTAAATAAAGTCCTCCATAAGCTAAAACTATTTTCCGCATAAACTAAATTTTAGAATTTCTCTCATATTAGCATCTTTAAAAGAAGATTTTTAATTTAAGCATAAGCTAAGTTTTGCATGTGAAAAAGATTATTTCATTTTTTCTTCTAATTTTATTTTTTTTAAAAGTGTCTATCAAGAAGTAAATCTAAATAGACCTTTAATCTAGTTCAAAAAGCTCTCCACTTTTGCTCTAATTACCAAAACTAGAAGACCGGCCTTTTATTGGTTTTCCCCTTAAAATAAGAAACCATAAATCATGCATCAAATGCAAGCCAAGAGGCTTTGCCCCCAGGGAACAGCACTAAAATAATAAACCATAAATCATGCATCAAATGCAGGCCAAAGTAGCAAATTTCCCTTCAATATATGTAAACAAGAGCTTATAGTTTTGGTCATAAGTCTCATCACTCACCCTATTAAGGTAATTCAACTGTGTAATAACACAGATTGTTGCCACGGTAAGAAAAAACCAAGTCTGAGGATAAGCTATTTGGCTTATTCCATCAAGTGTAAGCTTTATTGCAATTCCAATGGCTTTTATGCTAACAACCTGAAAATGTAATAAAATTCATGAACAAAGTAGTATACGGTTAGTTAAAGCATCAAATATCGATAAGAAACTTCTTTCACATAAGACACGATTACCGTAAGTGAGCCGATTAATGAACAAATTCCCAAGTAAACCAGCATATTATTCTGTCCATAGCGGGGTTCAAAGTGTATGATCAAGGCCAAAACTAAAGAAACTGTTGCCATCACGTAAATCAGAAATGCTGCAAGAAAGATAGGGTGGATAGAGAACATCAGTCAGTAAGTATACAAGAATATAGGCACGTAATTAAGAGTAAATTAAAACGGGATAAAATCCAACCTGGTTGAGTGGCCAGATCCCATATTTCTTGGACAGAACTTGGAGTCTGCTCCTGTGGTGCATGGATGACAATAACAATTGAACCCACGATGCAGGATACACATCCCAACACCCCCATCTTCGGAAGCCGCTCCTTCAACAAGAAGTGGGACAAAACGGCGCTAGCAGCAGATAATACTTCATATGTTAGTTCCACCAACAAACACAAAATCACCAGAACTATCAAAATTTTATTTAAAGCTAAGAGTACCTAACTATAATACTAAGTGCACCAAGGGGAGTAACCAGAACCGCCGGAGCATAGATATAAGCCACAAAATTTGCAATTTCCCCAATAATCACTGCAAGCACACAGTTCAAGATCCAATTAAATTTCATTTAAAAATCATAAGATAATCTGAGTTGCTCTGGCAGAAATAAAGTTGTCATACTTACTCGTTACCATACCAGCCCACCAAAGCGGCTCTAGCAGATAAGTATAACCGCCAACTCCTGCAATTTTCAAAAATCAAAATATCAAAACCTGGATCACAATCTAACAAGTACGCCCTGGATCTGATCTAAAACACCATATACTACATAATGTCAATGCATGGTCACACGCAGAAGAAAATTATAAAATGATAATTCGTTAAATTGAGTTGAGTGATTGGCAGTAAAGAAAGATAAATGACCTGCACGAGTACCGTGTGCAGCAGCACGCTTAAGACCCTTCTTCTTCAAGATGAAGCTCGAACCGATGAATGCACTAGAACTCATCGCCAGTATTAATCCCTTGGAATTATCCGAAAACCCCATATCTGTCATTCTCTCAATTGCTGCAAACTAACGATACACCCTAAAATAAGAAACGCTTCGTTTTCCTCCGACAAAGAAGAAGAAGAAGAGAGATTCAAATTGGACGAAACGCTGCGTTGTGTTGGTTCTGTTTTCAGAGGGGTAAGCTTGCTTCACGCGGCGTCGCTGCAGAGTAAAGATGCTCACGCTATATCAAATTCCCGAGACCCTTTAATTTTATTTATTATTGTTGAAAGTCCTTGACTTTGGAGAAGTTTCCGCGCGGAGTAATCCCCTGCTTCGTGATAAACTAGCCCTTACATATGCGCTCGCTGCTGAACCGTGTGATGGGAAATTTATCTCTAATATCGAGTTCAAACGTGTCAGAAAAAGATTGGTTCTAGTCGCTTACATCACTAGTGATGACGTGGCTCGTTCTTCACACGCTAAACGGATTGAAAAGTGGGATATTTCATATCCTTTCTCTTTCACTTCTTTCGGTTACTCTGTTTGGAAGGATTGTTGTAATGCAAATTCTGAACTTCTCCTCATATTGGATACTTATTCCATGGATGTGAAACAAATCCACTAACTCATGCTATCTATATTCAATAATATCTTTGATATTTGAATTAAGATATTATTTTGAAGGAAAGTGTTTCTGTAATTTAAGGATTTGGAAAATAAATTGATGAACTTTTTTTTTTAAATATTGAAAATGAAACATTCTCCTTCCTTTAACCAACATCATTAAATTATCTATTACATTATTTTAATATAATACTCATGCGATCATGTTAATTTAATGTAACCATTACATTAATAAATACAAGAACACATCAATTATATATTATATTTTATATTAAATTTTCATTACATATCATTAATTTATTTTTTAAAAATTTGACCAATTAAACACTACAAATAATATTAACACAAAATAAATAAATAAAACAAAACAGTTATCACTTTGTTGTTTTTAAAAATAGTTTATAATTTATTAATTTTAATTTTTGTTAAAACTTGTTTATAATTGTTTTCTGAAATCATTTTTAAAATTAATTTTTTTTTGTATTTTAAAAACTAATAAATTAAAAGTAATAAAATATTATTTTTATTTTAACTAACAATAGTAACTTTTTTTTTATTTATCATTTGTTTTATTATCGTACAAATTTATTAAATTTATTTTGAACGTTTGCGATAAGTTTTTATTACTGTGGATACTTTTTTTTTTCAACTCTTTCATAAAAATAATTATTAAAATATTTAAGAACTTAAAAATAAAACAAACCTAAATTAGAGTATTTGGTGTCCCAATACTTTAAGGAAGCTTCGCTGTGTCTTATATAAGGAGTGGAACAGCGTGTTGTGTTCGCTTAGTCAACAATACTATTTATTTAATAACTATTTTTTTTTTCTGGTTAAATAAAACAAAAATAAAAAGGCCGAAGGCCCAACACTGATTGAGCAATCCCAAATGGTCCACTAGATAAAACTTTGACAGTCTGGCACGCTCTGCATCATACAATAAAATCACGAGTTTTATTCTTTAAATATCTAATCAATAAACTAATAATTAATATTATAATTAAATACTAACGCATATGTTAAATTTTATTACTATTTAAAATTTTATCATTATTTTATTTTATTTTTCAAATTGTTTTATTACGTAGTAAAATATACTTTTTAATTTGTCTTGCTTGTTAACAAGGGTGACAATAACTGTACAACACCAAAATTACAGCAAAAATAAAATAAATAAATACACATTCAACTCATAATTTTAGGGTTCGAAGGAAAAAAAAAAGTTTGATGTTGTCATGGGACGAACTTATAATTAATAAAACAAGAGAAATAAAAATGAAGATTTTAATTCAAAAACAATAAACGTTGAATTTCACAATGTTTCATAAAGAAGAAGAAATATATGGATTTGTTTCTCAAATTTTTTGTTGGTTAAATACTCAGTGTTCTAGTTTTTTAATTTATAAAAATCATTTTTTTATTTTTGTTAGGATTTTTTTAATCATTTATATATTTTTAAAATATAGATTTTTAAAATAGAGTTATCAATTATTTATTTATTTCAATCTATTTTTAAAATTTATTTCATAAACTACTTTTAAAAACTAAGAAAAAAGTTAAATCAAACTAGTTCAATAATATTTCTTAAAACATAAATTGTTAGATTTATTATTCATCATAATACTTGTTTATAGCTATGCTTGATGTATCATCTTGAATTGTGTTGAAACAAAAATTAAGCATGTTAATGTCTTCAATTTGGGTAAATTTACTTTTTATACTCAAAATTCAAAGTATATTTTGTTTTATTTCTATAACTAAAAAAATATTTTAGTTCCTTTATCCCATATACATATTAAAATTGCACTTATAAATCAACAAATTCCAAAAGATCCATACTATAGTATTTTTAATTTATTTTTATATCATTAAAATTAAAACATAATATTTTTATTTCTATAATTAACAAATATATTTTAATTTATTTATCCCAAATACATTTGCAAATTACACTCCTATGCCGACAACCACAAATCATATACATGATATCACATATTTTTATTTTGCTTTTATATCACTAAATTTAAAATAGAAGTTTTAATTTCTATAGTTAAAAATATTTTATCTGAAATACATTTGAATATTGCATTCATTAAAATAATAAAACGTTGTGCAATTTTTTTTTCTTTTGTACAGTTTTAAATTCTCATATATATATATGTATATATAATAGAAATTATTAAAACTAATATAATTGATTATAAAGGTATCAACAAATATATAAAAAATGCATAAAATGGTATATATATATATATATATATATATATATATATATATATATATAATAAAATTATTATTTATTTTACCAATATTACACAACATTTTTTAATCAAATCCTAAATTGTGTAGGGCTAATCTTTGTACTAATTATATACCAATAAACTATAAATAACAAATTTATTTATTTGTAAATCATCACTCATATCTTAAAATAGAACTCCAAATCTAAATATTTCTTACTTTCTATAATTAAAAAATAAATTTAGTTTCTTTATCTAAATATATATGTTAAGATTGCATTTATATACCAAAAAACTATGTTCTTACAAGATGAAGAATTCTCTTATCTTCAACTAAACAATTCATAGTTTTCTTGGTGAGAATTACTCTCAAACTCTCTTTGTAAATTTTTAGATGAGATGAAAAGGGTGTTTATAAAGACATCTTGACCCGAAATTAGGTAAACCGTATCTATTATTCTAATTTTGTATGTGTTAGGATCGAGCGCTTACCACTAGGCCAAAAGCTATAGCCATTAGTCAGAGCGCAACTCTTTTTACTTAAGAGTAACAGCCCAAGCGCCACGATTCGATTGTGACTCGGCCACCCTGCCTCGCCACGAGACAATTGATGCTACCCGCAACAATCTCCCCTCAGCAATTGTCCTACGAGGAATCCCACTTGGATTGTGACTTGGTCCATCTAGCCTACGCCACCGATTGTGACTTGGCCCACCTGGCCTGCGCCACGGGACAATTGTGCAACCCGCAACAATCTCCCCTTAACAATTGCCCACCAGGAATCGAACTCGTGACCTTGGCTCGATACCAATTGTTAGGATCGAGCGCTTACCACTAGGCCAAAAGCTATAGCCATTAGTCGAGCGCAACTCTTTTTACTTAAGAGTAATGACCTCAAGCGCCACGATTCGATTGTGACTCGGCCACTCGGCCTCTGCCACAGGACAATTGATGCTACCTGCAACGAGTATGAACAATGTGTATCTTAAAAATCTCTTTATTTATAATATCTAAAATTATTTTATGAGTTTTTTTATCTTATATATCCTTGCCAAATTCCAAGATATCCTCTAATTAGATTAATCCTGATTATCCATAATATGTCTCAATTAAGTAAGTTTAATTTAATTACATATTTCCCCACAAACTACAAATAATATATATATATATATATATATATATATATATATATATATATTTTATTTAAAGAATAGTTTGATTCCTTTATATTATAATATTTACATACCAATAAACCACAAATGATTAACGTGATAACGTATTTTTATTTATCATATAAGAATTTTGAAGATTAAATTAAATATATTGTCGATAAGTTTTATTTTTATTTTAAAATTGGAAAAATTAAAAACATAGATTTAAGCGTGGTATTTATTAAAAATGAATCAAATAAGACATTAAAATTTAATGCTGTGAATTAAAAACAGTAACTCAGGCCTTATTGGACATCATTGGCCTATAAAAACTAACGTTTGATTCAATTCAAACGTGAATCCATTTTGAAGTTCTTCTTCCCCATATTTTTATTTAATTTTTATTCTTTTGTGAAACAGGTTTCAGAAGCTTTTGGGAGTTTGAAACCAAAAAATGAGTCTCATCCTTGTGCTGTGTGTCATCCTTTTGAGAGGTTCATCTTCTTCCTTTTACATGTCTATATTCACACTTTTGCTATGTGCCAAAAATTAGGATGGCAAAACGGACCACTATGCTTTGGCATGTTCTGCCTTTCGCCCGCCAAAATGGGGTGGAGGCTAGCTACTCGATATAGTCATAATGTACTGGAGATCTTGGTCCGTCTCGTCAAGAGACGGTTCCCGCCATAATTTAGAAAAAATATTTTTTTTATATATATATTTTTAATAACTTTAATAATAAAATTATTATTTGTTTGTCAATAATTCTATATATATATATATTATTTTAATTACATTATTTTAAGAAATTATAATTTAGAACAATAATAAAATTTACATAATAATAAATAATAACAAATATATATATATATATATATATATATAAATAACGTTAAACTTATAAAATTTATATTTTTTATATTGAAAAATTCAAATATCTATATCTTTTATTTGATAAAACTTCATATTATTCTTGGTTGAGTAATTCTTACACCTTTAATTCAAGTAATAAGGATAAAAATAATCAGATGCTTAGGATAACACAAAGAGAACGAAGAGAAGATTATCTTTCAGGAAGGAGAATATTTTTGGTGAGAATGAAACTTTTTTAATTATTTTTTTAAAATTTTTAACTTTATATATTATCTTTATAATTAATTTTATTACAATAAAAAATATTTTTTTATTAATTAGGTGGGCCGCGAGCTAGCCCACCCCATCCAGCGGGTTGGCCCGACGGGTTAGCGGACTTGGTGGGATGGGCCAAAGCGAGCTGGTGGCTGAAAATACCAACCCACCCCGCGGAACCTAGCCCGTTTACCATCCCTACCAAAAATATGTATAACCAGAACCTAATTTTTCAAATAGTATTTTACCATATTATAATTATTTTAAGGGAAGAGACAGATGCTAAAACATTTTGTATTTATATATTTTTTATAATTCTTTTTTTATTTCCACTTTTTAAACATATTCACTTTTTTTTATCATATTATACTTTTTAAAATTTATAAATTATAATAAATAGTTATTTTTTAACTACAATATTATTTTACTTAGTACTAGAAACCATTCCAATAGAGAATATTATATAATTATAGAGTATTTGACTCCGCCAGTTTTTTTTAAATATAGGATTATATCCTTGTTTAACATTGTTTTTGTTTTTTTCTTTAACTATTATTTCAAGCAATTATGGAGATTAATTCTATTTTTAATATTAAGTTAATTATTTTTATTTAAAAGACTTGGTTGTAGAAATAATATTTTAGTGTTTATTTTTATATATTTTATAGCATTATGTTCCTTATTGTAAAAAATAATATTATTTTATTTAAATAATCTTTATTGGGAAAAAATTATTTCATTTTTTAGGCATTTTATATTTTTTTTTACATTAATTAAAAATATTTTTTTATTTTTATTATAGATTCAAACACGTTATTATTAAAGAATATTATTTTGTTTTGTTGAAACTTATATAAAAGCAACATGGCCAATCTGCTATTTGATTTCATTTTTAACCTGAAATTTTGTAAAAACGTGATATTTTTAGTTATAGATATTATTAAGATTACACTACACTACATTAATTTTATTTTATATTGTATTTAATTATTTAATCATCGTTACTACTTTTTTATACACATTTTACCAGAATGCTTGAATCAATTAGTATAAATTAGTACGATGTGATTCATGTAAAAATTGATTATTAATCTTTATGAAACTATAAATATTTTCCATTACTATTATGTATATATTCGGATCATCTTGATAAAAATATATATATATATATATATATATATATATATATATATATAATTTCTTCCTTTCAAAATGTTTTTTTTAATTCTGATAAAAAATATTTAATTAATACATTTTTAATCAAACATATCATTTAACTTATAGACTATTTTTGTGTAGCATTAATTTGAGAACATTAATACGCAAACATAATCTAATAGAGTAAATAGAGTGCATTTAATGCAACTAACTTTTAATACATTATTTAGTTAATTACAATTAATAGCTTAGAAAGATTTATTTGCATTTATATAGAAAAGTCAATTGTCTTTCTTTTCTAGTGAAAATATATAATTTCTAAAAGGGGTGTTGTTACCTATACATACATGGAGCAAAAATAGTTCATTTTAGAAAGAAAAGAAAAAGATATTTTGACAACCAACAACCCCTAAAGTAACTTTCTTTTAATATTATAATAATAATTTTAATTTATTTTTATTTTTATTAAATAATTCGATAGATTATTATATTAATAAAAATGAATTGGTTGAAGAGTTGTATAATTTTTAGTTGTCAAAATATCACCACTCTACTCTAAATAATATTTAAAAATCATGGAAAGATAAAGTTTATATTTTTAAATTATCATTAATATATGAAAAAAAAATCTTGTTAACATATGAAGTGAGAAACATTTAGTGCATTATTTTAAATGTTTTATATTATTACCAAATTCATATTATTTGTCTAATGTTTTTTAAAATAAATTAAATTAAAGTAATTATTTATATATATTAATTTATGATTTTATTTAAAAGATTGAATTAAAATATATTCATTAAACTAATATACCATCTTAATATTACCATGAGAAAATATTGAACTAATATATCGTATTTGTTATCATTACAGGTTTTGAAGCTGAGGCATTAGCTTATGATTATTCTGCAAGTGTTGCAGTAAGTTTATCATGCAAACATTCATATATTTTAGGAGTGCTTGTTACATAAAGTAATGATTTTTTACATGATTTCAATTTTAGTGCCTTGAGCAACCATTGAAGCCTCAATACAATGGAGGAATCATCCAAAACCCAGAACTGAATAATGGACTTCAAGGTTGGACTTCATTTGGGGGTGCAAAAATAGAACACAGAGAATCATCAGGCAACAAATATGTGGTAGCACATAGCAGAAAACAAACATCTGATAGTGTCTTTCAGAAGGTTGACATCGAAAAAGATAAACATTATACTTTATCCGGTAAAATTTGTACTCAAATATTACAAATTCTGCATTGTTTTTCTCATTTATTCCATGGAACATTACACATGAAAGATCAATAACCCAAATGCATTATTTTTCTCTCATGGTTTTGGGATTAAATTCTACAGCTTGGATACAAGTAAGTAAGGGACATGTCCCTGTAACAGCAGTTGTTAAAACAAAGACAAAATACAAATTTCCTGCTGCCATTGTTGCTCAGGATAGTTGTTGGTCTATGCTTAAGGGTGGTTTCACGGCAGATGAATCAGGATCAGCTGAGCTCTATTTTGAGGTACTACTACTCATGGTTCTTGATAAACATTTCACAAGACCTTGTCTTAAATTTGTTGACAATTTGCTCCCATTTTTGTACTGCTGATAAAATGGAAAACAATATATGTTTTTATTTCATGGAAATAATTTGTTTGTAGTTTATACATTTTTTGAACCCATCAAAATAATGAATTATGCAGAGCAATACTACTTCTGTCGAGATATGGATAGATAGTGTTTCCTTGCAACCATTCACAGATGAAGAATGGAAGTCTCATCAAGATCAAAGCATTGAGAAGGTAATTGAATAAATAGTAGACAAACACTATCCAATCATAAATATGTTTTGTTTTTGAACAAGGTGATTTGGATTTGGCAGGTTCGCAAGAGGGAGGTTTCAGTTCAAGCAGTAGATGAACAAGGAAAACCTTTACCAAATGCAAACATAACCTTTGTATTGAAGAAATCTAGTTTTCCATTCGGGAGTTCCATGAACAAGTACATCCTAAACAATGTACTATATCAGAACTGGTTCACTTCTAGATTCACAGTCACCACATTTGAAAATGAAATGAAGTGGTACAGCACTGAAAATGTGCAAGGCAAGGAAAACTACATGGAAGCTGATGCTATGTTACAATTTGCTAAGAAACACAACATTGATGTCCGAGGCCACAACATACTTTGGGATGATCCTCGGTACCAACCCAGTTGGGTTTCTTCACTCTCTCCAAACCAACTCAACTCTGCAGTGGAAAGAAGGGTGGAATCTGTTGTGTCAAGATACAAGGGCAACCTTATTGCTTGGGATGGTGTTAATGAGAATTTACACTTTTCATTCTTCGAAAGTAAACTCGGACAAAACTTTTCAGGCAAAATTTTCAATAAGGCTCATAATATTGATGGACAAAGTACTTTGTTCCTGAATGAGTACAACACTATTGAGGACAGTAGAGATGGTGTAGCAAACCCAGCAAGGTACATTCGGAAGATCAAACAAATTCAAAGTTATCCTGGAAATAGTAGAGTTCCATTTGGAATTGGACTCGAGTCTCACTTCTCTGCTTCTGGTATTAACATTCCTTACATGAGATCTTCTTTAGATTACCTTGCTGCCAGTGGTTTGCCAGTTTGGATTACAGAATTAGATGTTGCAAATCAACCTAGACAGGTAAAGTTCAAGACCACCAACACCAACTTTCTGTATATGGATTTTCCTTAATCAACACATATCAATAATCATGACAATTTCTACTTATGATTTGTATAGTCAGAATACTTGGAACGTGCTCTTAGAGAGGCACATAGTCACCCTAAGGTTAAGGGTATTGTGATGTGGACAGCATGGTCACCACAGGGTTGCTACCAGATTTGCTTAGTAGATAACAATTTCAAGAACTTGCCTGCGGGAAATGTTGTGGACAAACTCCTTTCTGAATGGCGATTAAACAAAGTATCAGGGACAACAAATCAAAATGGTTTCCTTGAGGTCACTCTTTCACATGGTGACTATGAAATGGTGATTAATCACCCTACTAAGAAGAATTACTCCTTCACACAACTCCTACAAGTGACTCCAACAAATGAATCACAAGAAACAAAACAACTTGTAAAGCTTTCCGTAAAGTAACTAATGTTGCATAGCTTTGCATAAAGTAATTAATGTTGCATATTTAACTTTTAATTTAATTTACATTGTCTAATGAAATTTGAAAGATTGACAAGGTACTTGTTTTACCATTGTTTCTTTGTTGTCTTCCTTTAATGTAATTAGTTCAATTATTTCTCTCTCTCTCTCTCTATAGTTTGCATTGTATGGACTAAAAAAACTATTATTTTTAGGAATGATTGTTTTAGAAATCTATATTGAAAAAGAGTGTACTTATATATTTAGTAATAATTGAACTTTCTTATGAATAATATATTTATCATTATTTTTTTAAAGCTCAATAATTTCAGATTTTTAGAAAAATGTTTTATTTTCAGTTTATATATAAGAATGTTTTATCCACATTTTTCATAATTTGGATTCCTTAACATATTTGATTTTCGTAATCGGTTAGTTGATTAGTCTAAAGATATCCTAGAAAAAAAATCATGATATGTTGTAAAATATACACTAGAATGTATTTAAACAGCTCTAATCACTGCTCCCACTATTTTCCTCAATTCACGTGTAAATCCATCTTGGTAACATAGAAGTTCTTTTTCTCATTTTCTTGGTTCTTTCTCATTCTTTTTGAATCAAAGTTTTGAATGTATTGAATGAAGCAAGTTTCTAGAGCATTGCACTGGAAACAAAAATATGAATCTAATAATTTTGGTGGGTGCCATAATTTTTGCAGGCTTATGTTTTATACTTTTACATTTCTGTATTTATTAGAAGATCATTATTTCTCAAAAGTAATTGCGTACGTTCTTACAGTATCTCCGTCTAGATATGCTCATAAGAAATTATTTGTTCTTAATATTTCTCTAATTGTTGTTTGGAATAACTCTTTTACTTGAATATGATGTCATACTTGAAGGTTTTTTTAAAATAATTAATTTTTAACTATAAAAAGTATTTATAACATAATGAAGTCTAATTTAAAAATAAGATATAAAATTATGAGTTATTTGAAATTAATTATTTATCTATTAAATTAAAATTAAACATAAGTTACGACAAAGTAAATATTATAACTCATATTTTTTAAATGTATAAAATAATTCATGTAAATTATTTGTAATAAAGATGCTTTAATAAATTTATCATGCAAGCAAAGTAAATTAAAAGATATTCATGGAAAATAATAATTTTATCTTTGGTTTTATTTATTCTAATATCTAATAATTTTATTTATTAATGGACAAGACTTTTCAAGCAAAATGTTCAATGAGATTCACAGTATGCTTGAGTTATTTTAGTGAAAAATGTTATTTCTTATGTAATATATATATTTTTTTTGCAAAATCTTGTGACAGACATTGTGTTAGGGCAACCTTATTTGATCGTCGTACTTTCAACTTTCCTTTGTTATAAAAACACATCAGTATGTACTCTGCACAAGAAACTCTTATTTCTGTTTGTGGTGTATTATAAATTGATATTCTTATATCAATATGTAGTTATTTGAAAATACAAGTTAGTATCTTTTTTTCGTAAGTAAAAATTAATATTGTTTGAATTAATTATGATATAAATTATTATTTTTTAATAAAAATTAAATTAAATATCTTTGAAGATGTGAAAACCAGCCCCATTTGTTATGGTTTTCGGAGACCACACATAAATCGAAGAGCGCAGGGTGTCTTAAAGAGTAATAATGGATGGACCAGGCCCGTCCCCTCATCTTAATAGGAAAATTTTTGTAACCTTAAAACGCATGGATTTTGTTTCCATGATCTACGATGACCACACACAAAATCAGAGAACCACGGTCTCTTAATAGGACCCATGGTTTTGGCTTGGTCCTTGGTCAAATAAACGCAGCCACAAAAAATAATGGCCTAACAAGTTAATTTGCATTCTTCATTTTCTTCCAATTTCTTAATCATATAGCTTAATTTTGAGACCAAACGTATTAATCTATATTGCATACACTACATGATATGATGGAGCAGAAGAAAGGATAAGATACAGAATATGACAGCTGGCAGGAGTCGATGATCAGTAATACACGAGCTCAACTAAGCACCAGTCCACTTTTTTGTTTTGACTCTTCCAGTGCCTATTTAATTGCAACACGTGGCAGGTGTTGGATCTTTTTAATAATTTTCTGATATCTGCTTTTTGTGAAATTTCATTTATTGTTTCCCTTTAGTCTTCAATTCGTTCACCAATTTCCTGAGAGGAAAGAGGGGCCTTTGCCTTTGGGAGAGGAAGAGAAGGGCATGTTCTTTTGGGTCATCTCTTTCTCTCTCTGATCTGATCATACAGACAGATAATGGACGTAGATGCAGAGTAGATAAACTCTCACTCTCTCTCTCTCTCGAATTATTGATCCAACATTCAGAGTACAGATGGATCTTCGATCATAGCGGTTTTAGCAGCTGGAATCTGCACTTGCACCATGTGTGTTTCTACTGCCACCACTGTTGTTATTATATTATTATTTTCTACATAAACATTCAATTCCACTGATACAAGAAAAAATTGGAGAAAGTGTTCAAACTTTCTCTCAGCCTCCATCATTCTATTCAAGAATGGGTATTGCAATTGCAATGATTCTAACGAGAAGAGTGTTGGATCCCACCTCGGCCAAGTTTTAAAAGTGCTAAACTCCACGAGTATCAGCAACCCAAGAAAGTGAGTATAAAATTACATGCATGGTTGGTTTTGTTTATTGGACAGCAGGATCAAATCAAAATATATTACATTAAATTACACAGATAAAAAAAAGAACAGTAGTTGTTTTTGTTTGCTTGCAGAGTTGTTTACTTTTGTTTAATAATGTTGCAGCAGTGTAGGAATATATAAATCATAGAGAGGCGAAAAGAATGGTTATTTGTGGTCTGCGGGTACTGGGATGATTTCACGTGAGAGTTCTGCCACCGTGTCCGTGAGTGTTGCGAGTGTGGAGGAGTTTCGAGAAACCAAGGCCAGCCCCAGCAAAGGCAACCACTTTAACCTCAGTAAGTGTCTTCAACCTGATGGATCCCTTGAGCATCCAAACAGAGCTCTCTCTTCCATTATTGTTTCCACTGCCATGGTTATTACTTCAAATTTCAATCCCATTTCAAGTTTTTGGGTTAGATGAGTAGTTGAGAACTCTATTCTACTTTAGTCTACTCTACTCTAGTCTACCCCAAGAATGTCATGACATGGGTGGATCATAGAAAGAGATGGTTTTGTCAATGTCAATGGTAGATCTGAAGACTTAAAAGGGAGTGAGTGAAACAGCTAAGAAAACCAAAGATCTGTCTCAACTCAACCGTTTTTCAGCTAATTTAAGTAGGTCAGTTAACTGTTAACACTGAGATGCATTAAAGTGTTCAATGGCTCTCATCATGGGAAACCAAAACAGTTGAAATTGGAAGTCCTCGCTTGCAACTTCAACTGTGTGGTTGGTTGGTCCCTAACATGGAGCGATCCTATGTTTTTGTTTTTCTCTCTGTCTCCGTGCTTTGTCTCTTCCTGTCCCAACCAGCCAGAACAGAAGACGATTCCCAACCACTTCTAGCTCTCAAATCCTCCATTGACGTTCTCCACAAGCTCCCATGGCGACAAGGAACCGACGTGTGCACGTGGGAAGGAGTCAGAGACTGCTTCAACGGAAGAGTCAGAAAGCTCGTTCTCGAACACTCCAACCTAACCGGTTCTCTCGATTCCAAGATCTTGAACCGTTTGGACCAGCTCCGAGTCCTCAGCTTCAAAGGAAACTCACTCTCCGGCCAAATCCCTGAACTCTCGGCCTTGATCAACCTCAAATCGATTTTCCTCAACGAAAACAACTTCTCCGGCGAGTTCCCCTCCTCGGTCACGCTTCTCCACCGCGTCAAGGTCATTGTCCTGTCCCAAAATCATATCTCCGGCGGCATTCCGGCATCTCTCCTGAATCTCCGGCGACTCTACATCCTCTATCTAGAAGACAACGCTTTCACGGGAAGCATCCCGGGTTTCAACCAAACAAGCCTCAGGTATTTGAACGTCTCCAACAACCGACTCTCGGGCGAGATTCCGGTGACCTCCGCATTGATCCGGTTCAATGCGTCGTCGTTTTCAGGCAACCCGGGGCTCTGCGGGGAGAACATCCACCGACCGTGCAAAAACGGCAGCTTTTCTTTGCCGCCGTCAATAAGCCCTAGCTATCCGCTGATTCCGGGAGGGACGGCGACGACGTGGACGTCCACTTCGTCTAACCGCTCGAAACTGATAAAAATTATTGGAGGGAGCGTTGGTGGCGTTGTTTTGATTCTGTTGTGCATGGTTGTGGTGTGTGCGATTTGCAAGAAGCGGAAGACGAGGGTAGGTTCCGGAACGAGGAGCAAGGGCGGCGGCGACGTGGCAGAAGGGGAGGTTGGTGCGGCGGGGAGTGCGGGAGGTGGCGGCGGAGAGGGTGGAGATAGCAATAAACAAGGGGGTTTTGCGTGGGAAGGTGAGGGTCTAGGGAAGCTGGTGTTCTGCGGAGGAGGGGATCGCGAGATGAGTTATAGTTTGGAGGATTTGCTGAAGGCTTCGGCGGAGACTCTGGGTAGGGGTATTATGGGAAGTACGTACAAAGCAGTGATGGAATCAGGGTTCATTGTTACTGTGAAGAGGTTGAAGGATGCCAGGTACCCTGGCTTGGAAGAGTTCAGGGCTCACATTGAGGTCCTTGGGAGGCTCACCCACCCTAACTTGGTCCCACTCAGGGCTTACTTTCAGGCTAAGGAGGAACGTCTTCTTGTTTATGATTACTTCCCCAATGGCAGCCTTTTCTCCCTTATTCATGGTATGTCTTACTTAGCTCACATTACACTCATTCCTCAATAACCATCTTCTACTAATAACTTCAACTACACTATTATCTTGTTTACTTTTCTTCCAAATTTTATGTATTTGTGAAGGGGATTTGAATGATAAACCTATTATTATAAGAATGTAGCTTGGTCCTGAAAAGGGGGGCTGAGAGTGACCTAAAAGATGATTATCTTTTGATAATAGGGTCCTCCAATTATGTCTACGCACTAAACCTTTCCCTCTCCCTCAGATTTAGTTTAATAAGGACAAAGTTTGCTGCTTTCCCTGTCAACTGTTTGATGTAATTTCAAACTTTATAAATACGTGTGTGCTCTTAAATTGACAACTCATTTATGGCGTGACCCCATGTTAGTGTTGTCCCACTCAACCCATTGAAAATTACACACAGTGGAATTCGTGTTTTAGTGTACTGCCATGTACTTGTACAGTGATCTCATCTCAACTTTAATGGGTGTCAATTATTTTTTTTTGGTAGGAATTAGTCGGTGTTAAATTATGTAACATGGATGTTTTAAATCTCATAATCCATTTCAGCAATAGAGATTTTTTGATCTTGAGCATGGCAAATTCCATTTTTTGGTTTTGGAATTGCCCCTTCAAAAATTTAGTAGCCAGTAGTAGCAAGCCCCTTTCTAGAATGCCTAATCCTTGTGGGAATTCTTTTCAAAGATGAAGGAAGATGGTGGATGAACAACAGTGCTCCCGCTACTGTTTAAATTATAAAAGTGGTTACATTATTTTGTAGATGCATGAAGAAAAGTGTTATCCTCACTCGATAATGTAAAAAGTTGGATATTTGTGAGAAAAGTAAAAGCATTATTATTCATAGGGAACAGCCCCCTATTTAAATTCTATAAACAATAAGATAATATGCTTTCTTCCCGAGCATTTAACAAATCAAGAAGTCAACCATTCTTTATGCTGGAATAATACAAGGATAGAAAGTAGTCAATCATTCCAATTGTCATTTTGCCTGGATCCTCACGTGGATCTCTTGCTAGTTTGAAACCTTTGTTTTTCTCTTCACATGCACTGTGCTGCTTTTTCTAAGTTAAATCATTGAGAACTTTGGTCTTCATGCAATTACAATGTTCTATGACTGAGTTGTACCTTGATAACACAAAATTGACGGTGATAATAGTGCATGAATGTAAAGTAAAGGGTACAAATGTAGAATCCAAATGATAATACCAATAAAGAGAGGTTATCTTTGACCTAGCATCTAGAAATTGAATTATGCAAGTAAGACTGCCGTATCTGCTGCATTTAGCTCTACTTCATCTCATCATCATCACCATTTTGTGTGCAAGTGATTTTTTTCTAGACATGAATGAATAGTATTTTGTATATGTTAATTGAGCCTTTTGTAATTGTCAGAATTTAGAACCAAGAGCATTTTAAAGGCACCACATGTTACTATGCATGGAATTAATAACACCACTTCATAATTTCTTAATGCTAAGAAGTAAACTGAAAATTTCTGCATCTTAACGTTACTCTCAAACTAATGACAGAAGAGCTGTTTTGATGACTATAATGCAGGATCAAAAACATCTGGCGGGGGAAAGCCTCTTCACTGGACATCCTGCCTTAAAATTGCTGAAGATCTAGCAACGGGCCTGCTCTATATCCACCAGAACCCCGGCATGACACATGGAAACCTAAAATCTTCTAATGTGTTGCTTGGTTCTGATTTTGAGTCATGTCTTACTGATTATGGTCTCACTGTGTTCCTAAATCCTGACTCAATGGATGAACCTAGTGCTACTTCTTTATTCTATAGAGCACCTGAATGCCGCCATTTTCAAAGGTCACAAACCCAACCAGCTGATGTATACAGCTTCGGGGTCCTTGTTCTAGAGCTTCTAACTGGCAAAACACCCTTCCAAGACCTTGTTCAGACATATGGTTCAGACATACCTAGGTGGGTCCGGTCAGTGCGCGAAGAAGAGACAGAGTCCGGGGATGATCCTGCCTCAGGCAATGAAGCATCAGAAGAGAAGCTTCAAGCTCTTTTGAACATTGCCATGACATGTGTTTCACTGGTGCCAGAGAACAGGCCTACAATGAGAGAGGTTTTAAAGATGATAAGAGATGCAAGAGGGGAGGCTCATGTCTCATCTAACAGTAGTGATCACTCCCCTGGTAGATGGTCAGATACTGTTCAAAGCTTTCCAAGGGAAGAACACCAGAGCATATGATTGGTAACTTTTTGATAGCTTAATAGTTGAAACTATGCATTCTGATTTATCCTGAATTGGTTATTGATTCCATGCATAAACTAGGTGATACGAGTGAAGACCTACATTTTAATCTCTTGCTCTGTGAGTAAATGCATTCTAAAGGTAATCAATGGATTCTTTGTAGAGTCATCAAAGATTCACCTTGTCAAACATTTGCAGGACAATTCTTTTAGTTTAGATCAGTACTTGCTTCAAAGTTAGTCTTGCAAACCAAACTTTCCGATTAAAACTTGTGGTTCAGATTAATTTAGACCCATATATTATTCACTAATTTAAAATAAATTCTTCAAAATTAATTCTACTAACTTTTCACTAGACCAACATTGATGCTACATTGTTACCATGCCTTTTTGTTGGTGCAAGCATAAATGTGTCAGTCACGAAGTGATGGCTGTGACTTGTGAGGTTATCAATACGCGGAAGTGTTCCACCCATGTTTCAAATTTGGATAAAATAGAAAATTCATATGTTGAAAAAATATATGAAATTACAGATATATACATGTAATGAATTAATAAATTTAAATTAAAGTTAAAATATTTGTACAATGAATCGTATTTATTACTTTTTAAAATAAAGTATAAAATATAAAAATATATTTTATTTCTTAAACAATTTAGTTATAATAAAGAAGAATCAATTTAGCAGCTATATATTCATTCCACCAGTAATTTGAAGCTTTGGAAAGAAGCTTCAAATAATATGTTGCACTCGCAAGTTAGCTTATATAATTAAATTAAATTGTCAATTATAAATTATAAATATGCTTGATTACTTTTTTCATCTTTTAAAAAGTATTTTATAATACAATTTTTCATTATTGAACTAAAACAATGCTCGTATAAATATATCAATTTTTGAAAACTAGTTTCAAATTATTTTTAAAATGTTGTAATTTTTTATATCATGCCAATAGAAAAGTTACAAAGAAGCAAATCATATGTTTGATGATGTGACTTGAAAAAAAAAGGTGATTTAAGATGTGTGTTTAGACTACTTAATAGAGGACGTGTACTTAAGTGGGTCATGGATCACTAACCTGGAGAATTAATTAAGTCAGAATTAATTAAATCAACTTTGTCATAATCCATTAATTGCAGTTTGGTGGAAAGGTCAAATTCTCTAAACAATGCAAATTAGGTTGTTTTACATTCATTATTGATTAGTCTCAATCTAGCAATCTTATCGTAATAATAATAATAGTAATAATAAATTAATATTATGAGATACAAAAGATTAGATAAATAAATAAATAAAAAGTTTAAATCTAATTATACCAAACTTTAAATAAATATGTAATAACTTTAAGCTTAGATGTATTTTAAAAATTTTAATTTAATTGAGATGCACCTACTCATTTAAATTTAAATTGTCAAAATTTCAATAATTATAAATTATTATATAATTAAAAATTGTCTGAGTGTGTTTTTGTTTTCATAAATATGACTTCAGCTCCTGTAAAAATATTTATTAATTTTATATTTTTGATAGTTTTTAACCATTATTTTATAGACTTGATAAGTGATTAGTTAGTTTAAAAGGAAAAAAAAGATAATTAACATAATTAAGGTATTAAATAATATTTTAAATTAAGATACTTACATTTTTAACTCATAATTTGTTTAAGTATTGTACTTATTATTTAATATAGATAATGTAATTTTATATGTTATTTTTACTTTTTTAATTCAATAATTTATTTTTATAAAAAAAATTATATTTATTTTATAATTTACTTATTATAAAATATGCTTTTAATATATTCTAAATAAGGATTTTATTTCTAACAATAAATAAATAAATGTATTTTAATTTGTAAAATTAATCATTATCTTTTTTTTTAACTCTTATAAAATTTAAAATTAACATAAAATATTTGACTTAAATATATTTTAAGTACAAAATATTATCTTTCTTAGTCTATGTAAATTCTTTGTTATTTTCAATTTTTTTTTACATTTTTAGTGTTTTTTTTCCTTTATTATTAATTATAATTATAATTATTTTAGTGTAAAAATTTATAAAATATTATTAAAATAATTGGATTATATTTAAGTTCGTTAATAAATTACAGTATATGAAATATTTTTTACAAACTAAAATATATTTTTTTAAAATTTTTAATATATCTTGCACATTAGTTTTTATATTATTATTTAAAAAATTATTCCTTGTATTTTTTATTTTATAATTATTTATTTATTATTTTATATGTAAATAATGATTAGTAACAAAATATATTAATATATTATGAATAAAATTATTTTATATTTGTTCTAAATTATATAAAATAAAAAACAATGATTACTTTTACATTTAACTTGTTCGTGAAATATATGATAACTACTAATTTTAATATATATATATATATATATATATATATATATATATATATATATATAATAATGATTATTAAATTTGTGATCAAAATTATAAATACGATGTTGTAAATATTTGAGAGGTGTCCAGGTAACTCTCCTATCAAAACACAACCTTCATGTTTAGTTTAGTTGGTAAGATTTTTGAATTTAAAATATTGAACAAGTTAGAGAAAGGTGAGAATGACTTTAAGTTATTAAGTACCTTACACCAAATAAAGTAAGTGATGAGATATAATATCAAAATTTTATAAAAATAACTAAATTCATGTTTAATAGGAACAATTTAGATGAATTTTTCTTATCTTAACAAAAATAAAATAAAAATTTATAATATATATTATTTTTAAACAATATACAATTAATTTTATTTTATTATAAACTTTTTAATAAATTTTTTAAAATCATTCTCTTTTTTTATTTACTTTTAAAGATTATTTATTGAAATAATTATAAAAACTTTTAAATTAGAATGCATAAAATTCTTTAACTTATTTTAAATAACTAATATTTTATTTAAATATTTCAATTCTAATTGAAAATGCATTAATTTATTCTTTCTACGTATTTATTATTTATCAAAAATAAATAAAAAGCAAAAAAAATAATAATCATATATTTATTCATAAATGCAAAATAAAAAAAATCATACATTTATTTATAAAAGATTATAATAAAATTTCACATAAATTACATATTTAAATAAAATTTCTTAATTTTTTATTAAAATATCATATTTATTTTTATTTAATATAATTTTAAATAATTATATAAATGTTTAATTAATTTTAATTATTTTAAATTTATAAAAACATTAAATATTCATTTGGTTCTTATAAATTTATTTTTTCATAAATTATTATAAAATATAAATATGTTTTTATAATATTATAAAAATATTTTTATTTATATATAAAATAATTCTATTTTTTATTTAATTTTATAAATTTTATTATTAATTATTTTAAATTAAATTATATGTTAACTTTAATTTATATTTATATCTTAATTTTAATAATAGTTTGAAGATTTTGGTAACCTCTAATTTTTTTCTATTAAAATAATCTTTTATTACTAAAATAATTTACAAACTTTTCTTTATTTTTTATATTAATTAATATTTTTTATTAATCTAAATAATATCATTTTTATCTGTATTTTCTATCAAATCTATCTTTTTTTTATTCTCTCAAATCTATAATCTAATATAAATATTACCAAAAAACTCATAGTCCAATAATAGACTACGACAACATTTATATAAAATCAAAATCACTACTAATAATCATTCATATGTCATCCTATCACTTTGTTATTTGAAAATATATGTAATTATCTTATTTATATTAAATAAAAATATATAATTACAATTTTTTATTTTAATTTATTTTTACTTTAATCTTACTATTCTTTAAAACTATTTATAATATATAAAAATATTAAAAAATAGTTAAAATATGTCATACTTTAAAACTAACATCTTTTTTTAAACTAAAATTACACTAGAATCGTATTTTAAACATTATTGAAATAATAATTATTAAATTTAGGTTTTATCAATTATTAATTAATTGATATCCTAAATTTAAATGTAAAAAAATTAAACTTAAATTTATTTTATTGAATATTCACTATATTGCACATTTTTTAAATTATTAAATTATGAATGAAAATCATTTAAAAAAAATTATATATTTTTAATAATTTTATTCAATAATAAAATGCATAATATTGACATAATCTTTCAAGTTAACTTGGATAGTATATCAATCAATACTAAAGTTCACCTTTGTAATAAAAAAATTCATTAAAAAAAATCCAAAATTTTAATGTAAAAATAATACAAACAATGTATATAAAAATATGAATATTATTATAATTTCTATAACATCAATTTTAAAGTCAAGAGTTGACTTGAAACATATGATTCCCTTTCCCAAGAAAGACTTTATTGGAGGAAAAATATTAAAGTTTGAAGTTTTTTAAAAATATAATTATAACTTACAGATAAAAATTATAATTAATGTTAGAAATACGTGCGGAACACATATTAAAATGCATAAAAATATATTTTTCTAAATGTATATATATTATTTATTTATTTATTTGCATTTTTAACTGGATTTTAAGGACACTGATAAGTAATAATTTTGTTATTTCAATCTTTTCATTGTTTTAGACCTTTTTTTTATAAGAGTATATTTAGCAAAATTAGCTAAAAGAACTAGTTGGAAGCTTAAAAAAGTAAAAAAAAAACTATTATGGAAGTTGACAACTGTTAAGTTATTAATTAAATTGTAAATGTTTAATAAAATCATTAATTGTATTAGTTGATAAATGTAAATGATAGAATTAAATATGTTTATATCATATTTTTTATAATTAAAATATATTTGTATAATTAATTTTAAACTATCATAATATATTTTAGTTACATTTTTAAGTTATATATATATATATATTATTTATTATTATTCTTATATATTCTTGTTGTATTCTAATTAAAATAAAATAAAATAAATCGTACTCTAACTAAGTAATACGAATATTTAAAATAAAGAAGTAGTGAAAAAAAAGAAAAAAAAAGAAATGTAGTCGAGTTTCTTGGAAAATCATGTTCTTCCAAAATTGTATATATTTATAATTTTTTATACTATTTCATTTATTATTTATTAATAATATATTATTTATTATAAAATCAATAATTAAGATTTACGGTTTAATCAAAACATTGCAATACAAAAATATTTTAAAATAATATTATTTCACACGTTCATGTCGTATCATCTTTAAATAAAAAATAATAATAATAAAAATAATTTTAATAGATCTAATTAATAATAATAATTTTTTTAATTTTTATTTAAACAAATATATATACACTCGGTAGATAAATATGTGATAAATTAATTGAAATATAGTGTTTATATTTGTTTTATAATTAGTTTTTTAAAAATTTTAAGTGTTATTTTTTTCTTTATTTTTAAATATGTTTCCTTTTTTTCTCTGTTAATTACATAATATATTTTTTCTCTCATATATTTTTTAAATATATAAATTATATATTTTTTTAAAATTGTAGTATTTTTTTCTTTCTTTAATAAGTGATTAAAAATAAATTCTTATTTTATATAATTATAGATAAAGACTGAATCTATAATGATACATGAATTGCTCATTCATTCATTATCTCTCTGCAATAAACCGAACCAACCAAGTTCATGATGATGAGTTAAGAAAAAAGAAAGAAAGAAGTTAAAAACAAAGTTGTATGGATTATAAACAATGAACAGCGACAAGTAGAAGGGTCTCTCTTCCTCCAACGTGGTGCCAAAACAAAGGTTGTCGTGAGTGTGAAGCGTGAAGGAAGATGGTTGTAGGTTGGTGTGTGTAGAACAGATGATGCTGTCACGTTACAATAAAGAGGTTCCCAGATGCTAGGGACCCAGTGCCTTTGGACCCAATCGATGAACATGAACCCAATCAACCACGCCCTGTTCTATTACAACTTCACACTCCAAAACAAACCAATGTTTTTCCACTTGGCTTCAAATCAAATCTTAATAACATGTTAGTGTGTTTCATTACATTTCACAACTCTCTATCCCACTGTCTTGTCATAATCTTCCAAAGCCCCGACATAAATCTCATTTTATTTTTTCCTTACATAATTCTATAACCTCATAACCTGGTGTGAAATGTTGTTTACAACATGATCCCATGAAAACATCAATACTGACAATATATGTTATTTTTTAATACAAAGGTGGTTTGTAATCACTTTTTTAATCAATATTCAGAAGCTTATTTTTTATATAAAAAAAATACATGTTTGGATAAACATTAGCAAGGAAAACATTTTATTTGCAAGAGAATAATTTATTTGGATGCATGTTTCTGGGAAACATTTAAAGTTGCTGACGTATTGGTTAAGTATGGGCTTCCTCTCCAAGATCAAAAGATAGCCACTCAGGATTTTGTTCTTAACGCCTGAAGCATGGACATGGTTTGTGCCAATTTTCACAGCTGCTTTTAGTTTTACTTATCTTTGTAAAGCTTGTTTAGAGGAAATAATCTTTCTTGGCACATATTTGTCCTTAATTGTTTGTTAATTTTGAAATTCTAAACCTTTTGTTTTGTTTTCAATAAACATGTTAAGCTCAGTTTCTCTTCAATAAAGTATTGGTTACTTTTGTGGTCATGGAATTCCTTGGTAGAATTTTCAAAATATTCTTAGATGAAAGTGCACATGTGTCTAGCCCAACATGGGAAGTGGGAGGACCTCGTATTGATAACGATGATTAGTGCTTTGACAATTCTCAACATAGGGATCATAGAAGTTATAGTTTGGGTAGGATATATTAATATGTTTTTGTATTTATATTTTTAAAAAGTATATCTTTTTATGCATCTACACATAAATCTATCACTTGTGTTTTACTTAACAACTAATAACATGATTTGGAAGAAAAAACTTCATTAAAGAATAAGTCAGGTTCTCTCTGAGAAAATTGATATATATATATATATATATATATATATATATATATACACTGTATCCGTAATGTGATAGAAAAATATTAATATTAATGATGAAAAATGATTAGTATTGTCTTGACATAAATACCCTACTTGGTGTAGTTAGTTTTATTAAACATGAAGTATTAAAATTGAATGGGAATGGGAATGTGACTGGATGTTGGCTTGGCATAGGATGAATGTACTTAATGGGTGTGCTTTTGTATAAAATAACATTCATACTTTGCATAAGAAAACAAATGATAAAAGATAAATTAGCAGAAAAATTAAGCAGAAAGGAGAGGTGGAGTCCACAATGATCAGCATCAAATGCTTATTGGGATTCGCACTGTTGCTGAATTCCAAGATCCACAACCATCCATTATTATCTCTCTTTCTTTCTTTTTTATAATTTATGTATACGAAAGGGAAATTGATTTTAAAAAAAACTAGATTTTCCTTTTTTTTCCCTTTCTCTGCTTCCCTGTTGGCGGAGCTCTAAGCCATCTCTTGTCTCTCTCGAGAGGGGAAAGAGAGAGAGAGTGTGTGTGTGTGTGTCACAAAGCAAAGCAAGTACCCCGCAACCCAGAAAGAAAGTAGCAAATGCCAAATGGTGGTGCAGTGATAGCATTGTAGCGTAGTGTTAGTGAGAGAAAGAGAGAGAGAGAGAAAAAAAAAGGCACTACCGTCACCACAACCAACTAGGCTTCGGTCGGAAAGTTGCTAGAAAAAAGGTAACTCTCTCTCTTGCTCTCTCTCTATCCACTCCCTGTTGTTCTGTTACGACATGTTTGATTTGCTGTTATTAGGGCTTTTATCGTTTTCCTTTGCTTTGGAGCTCTATAATTGACTCTCTTCAAGATGACCCTTTCTACTCTTTTCTAAACACTGACTTGGGTTTTTCTGGGATTTAACTTCAGGTTTTGTCTTCTGGGTTACTCTTTACTTTTCTGGGATCTCCATTTCTGAACCAAAGTCTGAATTTTTGGGTTTTTTGATCGTGGGATTTCTGGTTGCTTATTCTGGGGTGTCACCGAGTTCCCTTAATCAACTAGACATCGAACCTTCTCTGGGTATTTCGCCCCTGATTCCTGTTGGGTTTACCTCTTTTGCTTTTAATATGTATGTAATCTGAATGATTTGATCTTAGAGGGTACTCTGAATCGGTGAATTGGTGTTGTTGTCTTGGCTTAAAGATGGTTGTTGCTAGTAGCTGTGGCTTAAGGTGATTTTGGGGAAGTTGTTTGGTAAGAAGGGTTAGGGATGGCTGCAGAGTCAAACGCTGGATTTCACAGTGAAGATATAGATTCTGTTTTGAACAGGCATGCAATATCATTTCAGCCTGGTGGTGCTATGAACCGCATGTCAGAGATGGTTCCAATGGGTAATTATTTTGGGCTAAGTAGTTCATCTGGGATGATATATTCTGGGAATTCAACCATCATTAACAGTAATCCTGTCATGAGTCAAGCGGGTAACCCATCGAGTTCTTCGCTTCTTCTCGATTCGGTTCCAGGACTGAAGCATGATACAGGGTTGGCGGTTGAGTGGTCTGTTGATGAACAGTACAGATTGGAGGAGGGCCTTGCCAAGTAAGTTATTTGTTTTGACCAGGTTAGGTCATGTTTTTACCTTTTCTTTAACCCTTTCATTATGGCTCATATGTGTACATTGGTGCATGGAAACTCATTTCCAATTTACTTTCTCATGATGATGATAATTTCGGATCTCAGATGGACAGGCAATTTGCCCCTTTTTCTTATCAGTGAACTAATCATGCTGTCTGTCTCTAAGCCATTTCTCAAAACATAAAAAGAAATCATGGTGTCTTTCTTTGTTGTATTTGGGAACTACATGCTTTATTTTTCTTACAATGATTTTTTTGAATTTCTAAATGTTGTTTTCGTTTTGTTTGACACTTTAATTCCTAATTAAAATGTTGCTAACTATTCTTTTCTTTGCTAATTGCTTACATTGGCTGGATAGAAATAGAAATGGAGGGGAGGTATCCCTCCTCTCCACTGGCAGTGGATTTAGAAGGGAGGGAGAACACTAAAAGTTTGTGAATTGTGTTGACTAAATTATTCCAAATTCGTTCAGTGAAAGGGTATTGTAGTAATTTAATCCCGCCTACCCTTCTATTAAATCCTCCCCCCTTCATCTCCCCTCCCTTCACCATTGAACCAATAAACCATTTATTCTTTTCTAATTTTTCTAGAACTACTTGGGTTGTAGTGGCTATGCTAAATTTGTTGTTGTTGTGCCATATATTTTTATGTTACAGAGCTGGTATTCTCATTATGTAGTTTATATTTCATGAACCTGTTTTTGTGATTCTTCCGTTTTGTGACTAGATATGCTGATGAACCAAGTATCATGAGGTATATCAAAATTGCTGCCCTGTTGCCTGATAAAACTGTTCGAGATGTTGCTTTGAGGTGTAGATGGTTGACAGTAAGCACTTTTTCTTTCAACAGTTTCTACAATCTCCATTTTTTATTGCCGCCAATTATGATACCTATTTATACCAAACTATAGAAGAAGCATTTTAATTGTATGTGAATGCAATTTTAAATTACTTCAATATTTATGATTAATTACTTCAAAGTTGAACATGTGTAGTGTAACTTTCGTTTTCCAATATTCAAACCATAGTTTTTGGGATTGTTACAATGGCTCAAGTTTTGCATGGCTGTGTGGCTAAAGTTTTGTACAGTGACAGTGATATCAGTGGGTTTAAAGGCAGGGTTTTAGATTTTGGTTTTTGTCATGGTAGGAGTTCAAGCAATTGCAGAAAAATGCGGGAAAATAAAGCTGATGGAACTTTCAATTTGGCCAAAATATGGTTGTGGTGGCTGCAATTGCCACTGCTGGTCACAATTTTGAACCATATTTAAAGGTTATGTTTCGTCTCATGATCAAATGAACTCTTGATAAGATAAACCAAGTTAACTTTCCTTGCCTTTACAGTTTAATGTAAAAATTTGAAAAAATTATTAGGGTCCTGTATAAAATTTTGTACAGAATAGACAGTTGTGCACTTTATGAACATACTTGGACTTTGGTACTCATGTAGTTTACCTCTTTACTTCTGTCTTCTGTTATGGAAGCTTAAAGTACAGTTTAAAATATTTTGCAGAGAAAGCGAAGGAAATCAGAAGAACACAATCTGGGAAAGAAGATCAATAACAGAAAGGTACATGAAATCTGGAAGCTGGTATACATATACTACGTTTCTTGTAATTTAGTGTGAGTTGAGGAGTTTTGAAAGTAATCTTAAATAACTTTCCCTGATTCTGTACTTGATGTTTTATGTACTGTGCAAGTTTTGAATTTCAAATGTATTTTTTTGATAGAAAAAAATTCAAACTTTTTTTACCTCTATATTTGAAGTTGTATGAAAAGTTCATTTTAAACTCAAAAACATTGAAAAATGAAATTTCTATTAACTGTTTGTTGAAGTAATTGTCTTGTGTATTTGAAGTCTCTATAAATGATGATCAGTATATAATTTTAAACACCATCTAAGACTTTCTACAATTGTATTATTAATCCTCTTGTTTCTCCCAACCTTTGTATCATCCCTAGTTTTATCCATGCATATAATCCCCAATACTTATATATTATCCCAAATGCCCACATTTTCACACGCATTTTGTTAATTATAATTCACATACATTTCCCCTTAAATTTGTTGAGATTAGCCTAGATAGTAGCTGCTGTGGAGATTAGATTAGCTATTTTATTATTATCCTATGCACCTTATTTAGTTTGATAAGACCAGGAAACTTGTTGTTAGTTATCTAAATCCAAAAGTATAGGGATTTTGTTGTAGATATGTATCCCTACATTAAGAATTAGAAAGCGAGACTCTATATTAAGAATTAGATAAACTTATATTATGAATGCACAACCTCGAAGGTGAGAATCTAAGTCTCTTCACTCTATTAAATATTTTGAATATTCTCTCTTTTTGCACTTGCATTTCACACACTACCTCTGCCCTATGGCCAAAAGTTTATCTTTCATCTATCTCAAACACTCTTCTTATCTTTGTTTAGATATTTGATTTTTTCAACTCTGTGTCCCTTTCAGTTTACCTTCTTTTATTTCTGTCTCCACATTAAATTACGATAAGTTTTTAAGAATTTGTCATAGTTAAAAAAACCTTATATTACAATTGAAATTATCTATTGTAAATCAAAAACATGATTTGTATGGGCAGCTATATTTATTTATCATGAATTCTAAGTATGAGTAAATATTTATGTAAATTTTAATTATATAAAAGTAAACATTTACCTTGGGCAGTGCATACGCTAAAACTGTAGTTTTTACTGTAAAATGAAAAGCTGAGAGTTAATCTCTATAGCTATAATAATTCCATCATATCATATTCAGTTCTCAAGTAATTTTGCATTCTCTTGGGTAGTGTGGTCAAGTGGTATGTGGGTTAGCTTGTTTGACTAATCCATCGCCCCAATGCTGTCAAAGGCAAGTATTGGGACAAGGGGATTTGCAAAGTAAATTGTTTCGGACTCTTGGTTAGGACTCAAACCTGTAACCTGGTTCCTACATGTACATCATATGCTTGTCCATCCTAAATTAATGCCTTGGTATTAGAATTCTTCCTTTCATATGCAATCAAGATCATGCTACCACTACTGATATTAAAGAATAAAAATATTAAATGTTTTTGGATACCCAAGATATTAAACATCTCACGATGTCATTTATTATTTTCTATTACTATCTACTACAACAAATGCACTCGGTAATTATTAGCAAATTCCTTGTTAATGTTGCTTTTTATCAAACAGTTATTGTAGTGTAAAAACAGTGGCTTTGAGTTCTCCCAACCTGCTTAACTATCCTGTCAAGGATGTTGGTAACTCAAATAATACCAAAATATAATTACGTTGCATCCCACAAATGGGATTCCAGTTTTGATATATTGAATCAATAATGTCTTTAGGATCTAATGTTGATTGAAGAACCAGTATTCTAAAGTCATGCTTCTTCAGGATAAGCCTGTGGAGTTAGCATCAAAGACAAATTTACATTCGGGTCTGCCCTCAAGCATGGCTACATATTCTCGCATGTCACAGCATATGGACCAAAGTCAACGGATACAATATGATGGTTAGTATATATATATATTTTAAAAATGATATGAAATATAAATTATAATATAAGTTGTTATCATTTTCTATTCCTTGTGTGCAACCACATGATTCATTATTTTTAAACTTTTTATTCAGCTAAACCAAAATTTAACCGTCAGCCTAAGAATCTATATGTAAATCCATTTCATCCCTGAGAGAAAAATATATTAAAAAAAGGTTAGTTGTTGACAACAAAGGTTTTGAAAACAGTTCAAAACATGTCTTAAACTATAATATCCCACATTGCTATCCTAATGACTGATCATGAATCCAGAAATTATGATCACTAGATCCCAAAATGCGCATGCATCAATATCAAATACAATAATTGTTGAGTGTGATGTGGTTCACATGGTCTTCAGTTGTTCCACAAATTGTGGTGACGCCAGTTCAATCCCCAAATCCAATTTCTGTCCCCATTATCCCTGTTAGCAAGCCAGCTTTAGACTATCTATGCTAGTCCGAAGAAGAAAAAGCGTGTGCTACCACTCTTTCTCTATCCGTGGCATATCCTTGTAGAAGGCTAATGTTAAACTTGGTTCAGTTAATGTTCTGTTATATTTAAATGAAGTTGTGGTAGCTTTTAGTTGTGCGACATTGTGTCAGGTAAATGGAATGACAAGATCATTGTGTATCACTGTTCATTTTTATAATTTATGCACAACAAGTTTATAATATCAGCATAGAATAGAATCGTCCCCATCCCTATGGTATGTGTTCCAGTACGCAACGGTATCTCTTTTTTTGTCACTAGAATCAGTGCCCATGTTTTCATCAAATACTTTTTCCTTATTTGCAATTAGGAATTTGTAGTCCTTTGAAGCAACTCATGGAGCAGAATGCTCAAGCTTTTAACCAAATCACTGCAAATTTGTCTACTTACAAGGTAAATTGCTCAATGGTAATACTTTAGTTTTTTTTTATTGTTTATAAATATACTGGTGCAGCTGATGATTTTATACCTTACCTTCCACAAGTAAAAAATATCGTCCCATGTTTAACAAATAGTAGGCCTGAAATATTAACTATATGTGGCATTTCACCTGCCTCAACTTTATGATGGATGAATAATTCAAATCATGTTCAAGAAAAGATAAAATTGTTAGTAATAGAAGAAAAATATCAGATTCAATTATAAGCTGGAGTCTAGTGTCTATGCCATATAAACTGGTGATGGAATTGCTTTTGCCTGTCTCACTATTTTAATTAAACTTTTTAATGAAAGGCATTAATTACTCATGTATTGGCGAATTTCCAAATTTACACCTTTGATTGTTGTGTTCAATTATTGCGTTGATTTCCTTATGTCCATTGTTAAGTAGTCTCTCGGCATCATTTTACTCTGTATCAGGGGGAAAACAATTAATACATAACATTCATTGATAATCTAATGATCTGATTATCACATTTTTCATATTATTCATTTAAGTATAATTACACTAAAATGTGATAATGATAGTTTTCTTTGTCAAACAGTTGCAGGATAACATCGACCTCTTTTGCCACACTAGGCACAATATTAATACCATTCTTACTGAGTATGTGAACATTTTGAATTAAGTTTACTTCCTTTGCGGTTAATGTTGTGTAAATTCATTTTCTTTCTCATATGGTTTTGATATCTAAAAACATTATGAAGTTCCCTTAATTTTGTGCAGTATGAGAGGGATGCCTGGCATTATGAGCCAGATGCCACCACTGCCTGTCACCATTAACGAGGATCTTGCTAGTAGTATTTTGCCTAATAGAACATAGGTAAGCTCTTCCTTGTATTCCTCTGTTGAAGTTGCACATTCATGCTTCCATGTGTTTTGTGAGTGCAAGTAGGTGATTAATTGCAATCATTGTCCACAGACAAATAGCAAAATTATTCCATTTGACCTCCCTAGTTGGTTTTGAGATTTGAAGCCATCCTAGCTGTCATCCCTTTTTGCTACCAAACTAGCTAAAATCAGTAAAGTAATTCAATACAGAATTATTCAAATGCATTTGTCAGAGCTACATAATCAGGGCATCTTTATTGATGTGTAGTTCTTAGGTGTTTAAAATTGATTTGCATGATCATTATAAATTATGGCAGTACATCTTGTATCAAACTTAAAAAAAAAAAAAAATTATATTTCTACAATGGTTATCCTATAATGCAATATTATTTGGTCATGTATAGTATTTGTAAATTGAAGTATAGAATATCAGATTATGAAAGTTGATTGGTTTATTGTGCGTTGGCAATTCAATGAAGAGGGCAAAGTGCTGATTCCACCAACATTTCCAACATAAATGAAATGAAAGTGCATCAGTGTAGAGAGATTGGCATTTTAACATACAAGTTTTAGCTGCAACTGTTTTGATGGTACATGACACTGAGGAGGCTAGAGACATCTACAGAATCTCAGGACTTTCCACACTTCTAATCCATCATTCATCTTATTGCTCCCTCCTTTATTTATTTCATTTGAAGGAAACCTTGCAACTCCTGTTGTATAAACAAAACACATTTTCTTGCAAAGAAAGAGGAGAAAATAGGAAAGTAATTAATATAACAATGGTTTGAGGTGAATGCACCGTTATTGTTCCAGAGTGCAGGTGTTTTTCTCATGCCACAGGAGCTATTTGTAGATCTATATTCTAGTTTGCCATTGACTTCAAATTTAAGTAATTATCATATTTAACACTTGATACATGTTGTGTAATGTGTGAAACCAAATCATTATTTACATCATTTCTTTGTTTTGGTCTAGTGTGATGTATGATCCACCAAAACAATAATGTACTTATCAGTAGTTCTTAATTAGTGTTCAACTATCCCTAGTCATATTTAAAAGATTATGTGTTTCTATTATTATAACATCAGGAAACAACACAATATATAAAATATGGTTTCAAATTTCACAATGAATTCTTTCTTACCTTAAAAAAAAAAAAAAATAGAGATTTATGAAGTTTTCTTAAAAATTCATTGTCTATTAGAATTTTTTTTAATAAATTTATTTATTTTTATTATCTTTCTTTAATTAGTTTGAATTGTTTATGTTTGTAAGTTGTTTAACATAATAATTATTAAAAAAACGAATCATATCATATAAATTTTTTAAGAATATTATTTGAAGTAATTAATGTTTTATTTAAATATTTTAATAAATAATTAATACTGTATAGAATATTATGAATTATAATAAACAAACTTAATTAAGTTTCTAGTCCTTAAAGAGACTAAGTTAAAATTAATTTTAACCGATAGGAAAATTAATTCTATTTCTATTTTTCATATTTTCTTAAAAAGTATTAGCGAAAATGTGTTAGTAAGTTCCTTATAGTTTACTTATGTTGTTTTTCTTTTCTTTCTTTACATTCTTTAAATTAAAACATGGTGTGCCACAAAAAAATTAATTTTTCTCTTTTAAGGGCTTTATTCTTTATTTGTTGAAATGTCATTTTTTAGTCAAACTATTAATTTATTATTTTATGTTGAATTATTAATTTAATAGAATATTTGCACATAATTTATTTTTTCTCATTTGGGTGGAATTGTTGCCATGCTTATTTATGTGCGCTGTTGGTAAGACAATTGGTTTATTAAATGGTTCGGACCATTTCTTCTCGGTTGAAATGCCATGTTATTCTGCACAGGGGAAAAAGAATTTATGCATAACATTCATTGAGAGCATTTTGACCTAATTGTGGGACAAGTTGTTGTGCTAAGGTTTTGGGTGTAATCGAAGAAGATTATGAAGGTTCGAGCTCATCGGTGGCTAATTCATGCTATTCGAATTGCACCAGATTGATTACCACTGATCTTCACAAAGCTTCGAAGTAAAGCGGAATGAACAATGGCTTTGGTAGGATATTTTCCTGTTTTAAAACTGATATGCATGTATAAAATCACTGTGTTATCTATGTTATCTACAAATTTATAAATCCATCGAAAAGATGAGTTGAAAAAATATTGAAGTTAAGAACAAGAATTAAAGATTGTTGAACAAGTGTGCATCAGCAGTTGCTTAACAATTTTCTTTTCTTGCTGTTTGACCAAGTCTTTAGGAATATTATTTATTTTAATTACTCAGTAACGTTTATTTTTAAGGTACCTACCTTAGTGACTATTGTTTAGTAGGAAGTTTGTTATTTTCTTCTACTACAAGTCTGTATTTAAAACAGATTATTGTTAAACGAAATCAATTGATCACTCTCTTCAAGTTACCTTTTTTATTAACAATTAGAGGGACTGTGAGTGAATAGAGAGTGTAAACCACCACAAAAAAGCCAAAACACCTTGCTTCAATTCATCAAATGGATGGATTCTGAAATACCGTACACAGCTCTAGCACCGCGTGTTTAATGGTGAAGATTATTATATCTGGCCAGCAAGAATCAAGGCACATCCAGAGTCAAATGATGTTAAAGAGGACTATGAAGTTCCTATCTTACTAGGCAATCCAACATTCACACAGATGATAAATTGCGAAGACAAAAAAAAGGGAATAAAGTGTGAGGCAAAAACCTTGTTGGTTATGATGAGTATCGGACTATTCGTCTTATATTAAAAAAATATAAGATATGATATCAAATATATATATATATATATATATATATATATATATATATATATATATATATATAAAATTCATAAAAAAATGAAATTATATATTAGTTATTTAAATTATTAATAAAAATTTATTTAATTAAAAAAATTAAAGTATAAACAATTATTAAATAAAATTAACCTAAAAACATGATATATATTATTAATAATATATTATATATTTTTGAAATCCAAATATACTAACTAAATTTTATAAATAATATATCTACCACCCAATATCATGAATACGTAGTCTCATGTGGAAAAACGGTTGCACACAAAAAAACAGTTAACCCGAGCTGTTACACACTAAAAAAAAGAAAGCAATCTCACATGTTAGAACACACTGGAACAAGAAAAAAAAAAAAAGAAAGTAATCTCAAACGCTAGAACACGTTGAAACACATAGAATACGCTAAAAAGAAGAGGAAAGTCTGACTTTGAAACAGAGAAAAAACAAACGAGTGAGGAAGAAAGCGAGAGAAAACCAATGAGAAACAAACGCTAAGCTAAAACAGAGAAGAAACAAAAACTATCAGCTCTTAAAAAAATAAAATGCGGAAAAAGAGATACTATTTAAATAATTCGAATATATTGTGATTAATTTAACAATAACAAAAATATATTTGTTATTTTGTTTTTATTTTAATTTGTATTTTTTTTATACAAATTTTTTAAGTATCGAGGCGAATCAGTGTCAAATACGTACACGATACGAATGCGTTCATCTTGCCAATGTACCAGTGCATTAGAGCTTGTTGGTTGTTGTCTCGAAAGACATTTTTGCAAGAATTATGACAATTGATTCAACATTTAAAATTTGAAATTTCCTTAAGGATGAATACAACAAAGGAGATGATAGAATTAAGGGAATGCAATCCCTAAATTTTGTTCGAGAAATTAATATGTAAAAAATGAGTGTCTTAAATAATTAAAGAGTATGAGAGTAAACTTAAGATTGCTTGGTTCTTTATTTCCTGATTCACTAACCATTGAGAAAATATAGATGATATTATAAAAAATAGATTATGCAAAACTCTATTGAACCCACCAAATAATGATTAATACAAAGAATACAATTATGGGAGTAAAAGTTATATCTCATTGATTTATTACAAACCTTATATAGGCATTACAAACAGTTATTCTGTTATAAGACATAACAGAATAATAATCCTCTATTAACTCCCTAACAACCATAAAGTCTCAAAGCCATTACTAATAATTTCTCCACCTTGGCTGGACTTTATGCTACACAACCTGTAAAATCTTCAAACAATGTTTGAACTTAGGCCCTGGCAGTGCCTTTGTAAATGCATCGGCTGGGTTTTCATTTGTGCTAATCTTCTTCAGAATCACCTCCCCTTTTGCAACAACCTCTCTCACAAAATGGAGCTTGACATCAATATGTTTAGTTCTCTCATGGTAGACCTGATTCTTAGCCAAGTGTATCCCACTTTGACTATCACAAAACACTTTAGGAACTGCTCTTTCTGCCTTCAAACATGTTGTCATTCCCTTCATTCAGATTGCTTCTTTTATTGCTTCAGTAACAACAATAAATTCAGCTTCAGTGGTGGATAGAGAGACTACATTTTGCAGATTGCACTTCCAACTAATAGTGTTACCACATAACGTGAAAACATAACCTGTCAAAGACCTTATGGAATCCAAACAACCAACATAATCTGAATCAACAAAACCAGTAACATTAACAACACTGCCATCATGCCTTGAATACAGTAAACCAACTTTAGATGTTCCTTTCAAATATCTGAAGATCCATTTCATAGCCTCCCAGTGCTGTTTTCCTGGCTTCCCCATGTATCTACTTACCAAGCTCATGGCATAAGCCAAATCTGGCCTAGTACAAATCATAGCATACATGACACTTGTGACACCTTTAATACCAACATTCACTTTATTATGATTTATGAATTATTATTGGTTCCTCTTAGTATTTGATTACCAATACACTCTTGTAGAAGTAAGGTACACAATAATTAAAACATACACTTAGTGATTAATATACATATCATTCATAAGTATCAAGTATAACTAGATAGTAAATATACACAAAGTCATCCCAAAATACACCTAACAAGGGTTCACAAGACCAGAGCAAACAAACTAACTAGACAAACTAACTATACAACCTAACTAAAGAGGAGAT